GAGAGGCTCCAACGCCAAAGCATAAAGGAGAGGCGACAGCGGACAACCCTGACGAACCGACCCTAGACAGCACGAACGCGTCCGACAACCTTCCGTTCACCTGTACCACAGCACTGGGGAGCGATACAGGAGGCTAATCCAGCGGCAGAAGTTGGCTTCGAATCCAGTGGCCTGCAGGACAGTAGCAAGGTAGCGATGGTCAACCCTATCAAATGCCTTGGACTGATCCAAATTGATCAGCGCGGCTTCTTCGTCGTCTTTTACACCCTCTATGATCGTGTGGATGGAGATGCAGGTTGCTCTGAATTGTTCGGCCCCTCACAGAACAAGTCTGCTCAGGTCCCAACAGAGACTCGGCAACTGACTGCAAACGCTCCTGCAGGATCTTGGCCATAATCTTTAACTCTGTGTTTAGCAGAGTTATGGGCCTATAATCATCTAGGTTCCCCCACCACCTTTGCCCTTTTTCAACAGAGTGATCACGCCCCTGGTAATCCTATTGGGGATGGACCCCGACCGAAACCAGTTGTTGAACACTGCTGTCAAAATCGGAACAAAGATGTGCGACAGCCTCAAGTACAATTCATAGGGCAAACCATCCAGACCGGGCGACTTGCCTCTGCCGACCTTCTTCAAAACCACGTAGACTTCGCCCTCCGTAATCTCTCCCTCGCAGCTAGCCGCTTCAGTCGGCGAAAGCCGAGGAAAGTCAGCCAAATATCTACGAAACTCCTCCTCACGGAGACCAGGCTCCTTGGTAAACCGGTTCTCGAAATGGCGCCGAAACGCCTTGCACATGTCGTCAGTAGCCCGAAGAGTATGCCCCTCCGGGGACTTGACTTCACGAATGAAACGATCGCCACCTCGACGGACCTCTTCCCTGCGCAGATCTGCGCCCAAGTTCACAGCTTCGGAAGACATCTTACTTAACTTATGTCTAATTACCTGGCCCATGTACCGCTCGCTATTCAAACGATCCAGGGCCGCCCTAGCTAAGGCTATCTCTGGGGATTCCCCCAGCCACCGCCCGGGTGTAACTAGCTTTAAGTGTCTTCACCTTATCAGCTCTATCTAGAGCGAGCCGTTTGCTGAAATCAGTGGTGAAAGACCTAATCCTAGACTTAAGGCGCTCCCACCACTTATTCCCGATAACCGCCCCCACTAACTCCCGCTGCACTAATCTAATTAGCTGTTCCTGGAAGTCCCGCCTGTCCAGTAAAGACAGATTGAACTTCCAGTACCCAGCCATTCTAGGCCTATGGTCTAACGCTACACGGGCACAAACAAGTTTGTGGTCCGTGTAGCCTACCCAGTGGAACGTAGGGCAATCTAACAGATCTATGTCGGCTCTTCTCACTAACATTCTGTCAAGGTAGCTAACCACCTTGTCAGAAGGCCAACTAAGAGCCCACGTCCACATTTCCCCAGGATGATCGACCCGGTATCTATCGACGAGACCATAATCGTCGATCAGATCAACCAGGCTACGATCGTCCCTTCTCCCACTAGCACCCCGCCCCCTGTCTAAGTCGGACGCAGTCACTAGACAGACGCAACCATCTCTCGAACTGAGAAGCTTTGTGATCTTAAGATCGGGGGGGGGGCGTGTAATGAGTTGGTCGGTCAACTTGACACCCCCAAAGTGAGTGGAGGTGGGAAGGCGCGGGAACTGTGATTGGTAGCTGGCTTGTTGGTGTTTTGCATAGGTGAGTTACCAAGCTCTATGTAAAGGGCTGGAATGAGAAGGAGGGCAGTTTTTTTCAGTCTCAGAAGTGGAGACTGTGTCCGTCGCTACGACAGCAGGAGAGAAAGAGACGAAATCATTTATTTTTTCGTGATACATTCCAACACAGTTTGATACTGTACATCTTGTTAAATACATATTTTATGTGTAACAATGTCTTTTGGTTATAATTTTTTGCGTGAGCCTTGTTTCCTAATCTAAAGTTAAATTAGTGTGGTGAAGTCCGCCACACACTCATCCTTTTTCTTTTCCTCAGAGCCAGTGCTCGGCTTAAGGAATAATTGTTATTGTTTGTTCCATAAATCCATGTTTGTGTTTATTAGTGTTTCTATAGTGTATATCTTTTTCGGCTCAGCGGTTAAAACCCGCCAAAAGTGTGAAGGATCCATTTCCAGTTTATGGAAAATTATTTTTTCCTATGTATACTGACCAATGAGAGATCTGTTCTCAAGCTCTAGTAACAACCCTAATGGCGGCTTTATGAACCTAATTTTCCAAATATATAGAGCTCAGGTCAGTAGATGCGAAGAGAAGACTTTTTGACAGCAAGGGGAAAGAGCAAATCGACATCAATGAGAAGGCATTTGACGTCAAAAAGAGAGGTTCAATACGGCACCAGTTACCAGCCAGCTGCAGGGAGACTGAAGAAATTCGAAGTTCAAGTGAATATCTCCTGGGGTTGGACAACAAAGAACCAAAATGAATTTAAAGAAATTTTCCCAAGCACGAACAGTGTGATTTTAAAAGGGACTTTTAAAAAATTACTAATGTCTTACAGACGCTGGTGGGGCAAGTAAAAGTAAATGTTTTCGTTTTTTTTTGTTTTTTTTTTGTTTTCTCAAAGATGGTTGCGAAAATTGTTATCTTGCCTTAACAGGCACATAAAAGGAATTTTTTTTTTGCATTTGTATCTTTTTCGTATTTGTGCAGCAAATGTGTTTTTCTTTTAAAATTTTATGCAGTGGTTGAGCTTTGTTTGTAATTTTGTGACTATTATGACTTACTATTCCTAAGTTTTTGTGTTTGGCACAAGAACTTACATTTGGTAGGGAATAAATTTTTATAACTTTAAAAAATTTTTTAATCATTTTTTTTTTTTAATTCGGGAGGTGGGGTACTGAAAGTGAATGAGAAGATTGAAAATGGGGAGGATTAGTAAAGTGAAAAAAAAAAAGAACAGGTTTCAAGACAGACGATGGCAATTGACATTGCATTTAAATTTTCGAAGATTGTAGTTTTCAGGGAAGCAAGAAATCGTAAGGGAATTCCACAGGTGGGTAGTACGAGAAAAAGTGTTAGGGTAAAAATAATGGTTGCATCTAGCTAGTTCAACAGTAAAGCGGTGAGACTTAGTTGACAATCGAGTAGCAGGTTAAAATTCATGTAATCGGGGGATCAGGAAAAAAGCTTGTCCGAGCACTTACCATGAAAATATTTGTAGAACTGGCAGAAGAAAGCCACGTCATGTCAGTAAGAAAGTGGCTGGAGACGAGATGTCTGGTCAGAACTGATTGTATTGCAGACTCTTCTTTGGATTTTGTCAATCTCGTGTTGCACAGTAGGAGCACCAGACCAGATATGGCAACAGTATTCAATACACGGACGAATGGTGGACTTACAAATGTTCAAGATGGATTCTGACCAGAAAAAATATTTTAGCACGACACAGTGAACCAAACTTCCTTAACATTAGGCGTAGCAATTACCGTGATATATAGTCGCTCCACTTCACTTCATGTCAGAGGCCAAGAAGGCGTAGAATATCGCCCTCTTCTAGTTCAGCATCAGCCATCCTGATGGCAAGCAGAAAAGTTTCTCTATGGTGATTAAATTAAACCAGTTTTTTCGGGGACGCATTGAAATTCACAAGCCATTCTTACTCCAATTAACCACTGATTGAAAGTTTTTTTTCAAGATTAGTTTTTAGGTTTTGTCAGATCTGTTGGATTTACTATTAAGGTAGGAGAAAATGGTAGTAGTATCATCTGCATAAATACCCAATTGGGGACTAATGACATCAGGGATATCATTGAAGAAGATCAAAAACACGTATCGGGTATAGAGTTCTGAAGGAGCCCCGTGTTAAGAAATTATCTGGAAGCATGCCCGTTCAATACGACTTTAATAACTCATTTGGTTAAGAAGAACGATTTTAGACTTGTAATGAGTACGAAATAATAACTCGCCTGTGTAAAATTAATCACCGATTATATTATCAGTCTCTTGTGGCACTTCAAAAATTTTTTAAAATCCAAGGAAGCTAAGTATTTCAAACTATCTCTCTTAGTCTTCGTCTACATTTTTTTTTTTTGAGCGTATGCAAATCATATCCCTTCGGTGAGCAAAGAACTTTCTTCTTACTTTTTTTTGTCTTAAACATTTTTTAATAGTATGAATATTTCCCCTTCAAGTAAAAAAAAAAAAAACCTGTGAACTTTAAGAATTCTGATTTATTTTCTTCAAACGAGTTACTCGCACAACTTCAAGCGTGTTAGTGAATAAATTCCTTATCTTTTATTAAAATTCCCTGTGTTTTCTCGTCATTATCATCCTTCCTTTCATTAACCTTCTTGCCGTGGGTAAATCAACTGTTCATTTTAACCACTAAACTCCACGCCACTATATATTGTTACATCAGCTATAATAACTTTTTGGGGGGTACCGCTTTAGTGTGTATCCTACCACCACATTTGTATCCTATTATTAAGGCATTGTAAATATATTTTACCAACGGAGACACTTGGATGTTTTAAAAGGGAAATAATAGTGCCAACTTTTTTTCAAAAGACATTCAGAATGTTTTTATTTTAAAAAAGGATTCAAATATTTTGTTTTGTAGTCAAATTTCTTATTTTATAACTTTTTTTTATTTTATAATACAACAATAAATGACATCCCTCCTTCGGTTTACTTTGCTTTGCTTTTCTCTTACGTTTAGGATAAAAATGTGGTGGTAGGATTCACAAAGCTTACAAAGCAGAAACTGGTCAGTAGGACACACACAAACCAAACGGCACCAATTTTTTTTAATGGTGACGCGTTGCTTTTTTAAATCAAAGCAACTGGCAACATGTTTTTACAAAATGTTTTTTTGTATTTATTTAGACAGAAATTACAAGGAAGCTTAAAAACTTACAAATGAGAGAAATAAGAAACTAATCGATAAATATATAATTTATAAATTTAAAATTCTATAAAAAATAAAAATGTTCCGTGAAAAGAGCAATTTTCTTTTTATGAGAAACCTATAATTTACATGTCGCCGGCGGTGTAACTTGTATTAATGTCACTTTGTTTTTTTCCTGATTTCTTCATGTATTGTTGCGACACAGCTTTGTTTTTACTCACCTAACCATCTTTACGCAAAGGTTTGCTTTTATTATTATTCATTCATTAGTAACAATTTAAGTTGTTAAATCTCCATATTTTTATGATTTCAATAAATCTGATTTCTTAAATTAAAATCGAATAAAGTAGCTTAGCTGCAACAAAAAAATGAAATAAAACTTGGGAAAAGAATGAAAAAAGAAAAACAATGTAAAAATTAAGTGTTTAACTTTAAACGAGGCGCTCTTGCAGCTAAAATACTGCGCAAAAAATATCGACAAAAAATATAGTAAATAAAAATAAACAAAAAAAAAAAAAAAATACCCCGGGCGCGTAGATATTGCGCAATTTTTTTTTTTTTTTAGGTATGTTGATCGACTTTTAAGTTTTACTGGCATTAATTATGTGTAATTAGAATACTTGGCATTCCTCAAATTCGTTTTCATTCATTAATCATTTTTTAAAATCTGAAAAACATTTTTCAAGTGCCCAACAACAGGCAGTGTGTTCTCACAAAGCTTGGCGTTACCACACAAGCTAGTACACAAAATCCAATCTGTAAATGTGCCATGTCTCGTAATCCTCTAATGGTGTTCTATAACAATTGATTTAAATTACTATTCTTACTTTTTAATTTTTTTTTTTCAGAACGTTAGTTTTTAGAGTTAAAAAATTCAATGTTTTTTAATTATTTTGTTTTCTTTATTTTCGATGTCGATTTTAAACGAAAAGACTGATAAGAAAACAACATTTTTAATTTAAAAAGTAAAAACTATACTTTTCTGTTTCTCCAAAGCGTTATGAAGATCATATGGTCAGACAACTATTCTTTTCTTTCTTCTGATGACTGAATAAATGTCGTTTTCGGTTACAATTACATGGAAGTAGGTTAGCATTATATATTTTTTTCTACGACCATAGTTGAAATTATCGTTTTAAAAGCGTTTTTTAGCAATGTAATTAAAAAGTAAATGTTAAAAATAATATAAATAACAAAATTAAATTCTTTCTATTTTTTTTTTATAGTTTTTAAAATTTCTTCGCGCTATTTATGAAGTAGTTTCATCCAGTAACTGAGTAACTTATCAGGATGAAAATATTAGAGAGCGAAGGCCATCCGTAATTTTTTTTTATCTATGGAACTACGTAAAAATTTCGTTTTCGTACGCAGATATAAATGACATACAGCATTTGTAAATAAAACTTAAGTGCAGATAACTCTGTAAAAGATATTATAAACAGGCCTGAAGGGTGTGATCTGTGATGAAAAGTTTTTATAAACCTATAATAAAAATTGAAAACTGTGCTAGTTTGAGTCTTAGAAATGACAGTAAGCCTACCAATTTGGATTATTTTATTTTGTTGGACCCATGTAAATTAAGATGGAAGTAAAGTTTATTAGTTATTGTGCTGCAAACTCCTTTTCCAATAAAAAAAAAAGTATGGAATAACTTTTAATACTGGTTTCAAAACTTTTTAACAATAGCAAAATTAACATTTTGTAAACATCTTAAATTTAAATTTTAAATCACATGAAAAATACTTTTTTTAGTTTTACAAAAACCCATAATCACATTTGTGATAAAACAGGATTTTGATCAATAAACTGTGTGATAGTATGTGACCAATAGAAAAATTCATCTGAGGAGAAATTTTGATAAACTTAATCTCTAAAGTTCAAATCCACTTTGGCAGGAAGGGAGACAAGCCTATTATATATATTTCTCAGATAGTAAATGCAAGAATCATCAATAATTGTGAGAATGAAATAATTTTTGCTGAACATATTCTGTATAGATGTATGGAAATATGACAGATTTTTTTTTTTTTTTTTTTTTTTAATCGATTTACCCTAAGCAAAGTAATAATACCACTAAGATTCAAGAGGCTTCTGAGAGTGAAAGAAGATGAAAAAGACTTTAGAAGGAACTATAAGCCCAATTCTAGACAGGAAACCTTTACTTCTGTTCAAAAGACTAGGGACGAGTGTGAACCAGCAAATCTGGACCTTCATGCCTGCAATAAAACAATGTCAAAAGGATGTTTTTTCCATTGTTATTAGTATTATTTTAACTACCTTTATTCCATGTTTATTGCTTTAGAAAGGATGATTAGAATTGTAACAAAACTTACAAATATAAAAGCAAATTTATACATTTTCTTTGCTCCTGAGAATTGACAGCAAAAATAATAAGCACTATTTATTATATTGTTTATTGGAATAGATAGCAAAACATTGGCTAATTGCCAATTGATTTGAACTTTATAAAATAGTAAATAAGGGTTACTTTATAGTTGGTGCAAATATTTGTGGATTTATGAATGAAAAATTGTTTTGATATTTATTTCTTTATAAATTGGTAAATGATAAATATTGCATTGCATTAGTTTTAATACAATTGTATAAGTTTTTATAATATTGTAAATATAAAATTATTCTTGTAAATAAACACTCTAATAGTGTTTAATATTTTTGTTGTAAATTCTCAAAAACAAACAAAAAATGTATAAATTCATTTTCATCATATGTTTAGGTTTTATTACAATTCTAATTATTGCTTTTTAAAACAATAAATATTGCCAATATTGCCAGTGAAGGTTATTGAGGCTTTGAAAAATATTGATTATTATTATCATCTCTATTTAGTTATCATTCTGTTTATTATTTAATGAGATTTCAAAATTTTTTTTTTCTATCTTTTTAGTGGAGATAAAAAATGTTCCGTGCTGCAGGCCAGGCTGAGATCCTGCGAGCACACCAAAAAGATGAATTCTATCTGACTCATCTTCGTTCCGTTGTCACAGATGTTTTCCAAGGAACTTTTGGTATTTTTACATCTATTTTTCAATTCATCTTTATATTTACTGTATACTGTGTATAAGCCAACATAAAAAAAAAACTCAGAGGTCATCCTATGCATAGTGTGATCCCCAAATTGTTTTGCATGAATTTTAACCTCTCCAGAAAAATTACCTGTGTATAGTGCAGCCAATTACTGAAAATAAATGGATTTTTAACCTCTTCAAAAAAATTACCTGTCTATAGTGTGACCCCTTTTTTTGCGTTAAAAAAATGATCATAAAAACTCACATTATAATCAAGTATATACAGTACAATGCAAACATGGAGTCTATTAGCTATATCAGTCAAAACCAATATTAAATTTAAAAAAAAACACTGAAGTATTTTGAAAATTTAAAGTGTAAATGATGTAAATAGTCATATTTATTCTACAAGGTGGTTGATTTGATTTCAAGTGCACTCAGTATATTGTCAGTGCATAAATCTAATTCCTCAATTGAAGATGTTCTTGAAAGATTATATATATGAAATGAGATGATACTATATTTTGTTTTTTGTTTTTTAGCTGGGACTTTTTGAGTAACAAAACTCTAGCTTAACAACAAATTAAATTTTAAAAAAATACAAATCAGATTTGAATTATGAACCTTTGAAAGAAAAAATCTTCTGTTAAGTTATTTTTTATATCTTAGATTTGTCTGCTATAAGTAACTTTTTAAACAATTTTCATTCTAATTTTTTATATTTTGGAAACCTGGATAATAATTCATACAATTTAAATCAGTTCAAGTCCATGGATTAAAAATGAGGACACGCACACACACACATATATATATTAATCATTTCGCAACAAGCAAGGCAATAAAGCTACTAAGATGTAAGAAGTTATTGAGAGTGAGAGAATATAAGAAGAAAACATTATTAAGGAGAGAGAACAATAAAAGAACAGGAATTAAGAAGACAACAAAGACATTGCATCTAAATTTTTGAAGATCAAAGTTAACTGGAAAGCAAGAAGCCAGAAGAGAATTCAACAAGTGAGAAGTGCAAAAGAAATTGTTAGCATAAAACTTGTTTACATCTAGCCATTTCAACTGTAAAACCTTGCCGCCAATCTTGTACTGTGCTTAAATTCATATAGTCTAGGTACCATAGAAGAAAGTTTGTCAGAAGAATTTCCATGAATAAATATATATATATATATATATATATATATATATATATTGGATTAATATAAATATAAAATTTGACACTTAGCTGATTGATGTTATATTTAGCACACAGACTCCAGAGTTTTGTAGACAGACCTTTTCGTAATCATTCTGTCCACTCTTCAGGAGATATCAGTAATTCACTGCTTTTTTCTTATTTTTGTTATTTTTATATCAGCTACCTCAAGAGTTAACAAATTCATAACATGCCAACAACAACTAAATCCACAGGGGAGGAAAAATACCCATGCAGATATATTTAGAAAAACCAGAACATCACCTTTATTTGGGTAAAAAAAACAAAACGAAAATACACCAGAATAATTTTTAAAAATTGCTCAATAGAATGAAAACAATTTACTCTCAAGCATAAGACTAAAAGCAAATAAGTTCTTGACTATATATATATATATATATATATATATATATATATATATATATAGTGTGTATGAATATGAATGAATATGAATTTATGCATGCTGTATGTATGAATATGAATTTATGCATGCTGATTCCTATAGTTGTAAATTTACCATATTTTCAGTTTACGCTGTATATATTTATTTTGAAACTGTGTATGGTCTATTTTGGTAAACAGATACTTGGAGACTAATCATCAGTACTAGTGGTCAATTTCAAACTGTGACCTTCTTGCTTTAATACACAGTGGGGTTAATTTTTTTTTTTTTTCAAGGCAAAATTTTTGGAAGAGGAAAAGATGTGTATTATATGGTAGTGACTGATTAATATGAACAATTCTGCTTAACTTTATCAAAAATTTCTTCCTTTTTTGTGCAGGTATAAAATCAACAGTTCAGTGGCGAAAAGAACTTACTCTCTTTGCAGACCTTGGATACTTCCTACTGACTACTGTTGCGGGTAAAGTATTTTTTGGTTGAACTTGGGCAAAAAAAAAGAATGGCATCTTATTGATTTCAATGAAATTGATCTTTTTATTCAAACACACCAACCAATTGTGGGTAGGGGATGTCAGTTTTCATCTCTGAGCCTTTGTTACCCCACTTCTCCCAATGGGTCCTTTATACCTTTCAGCTTGGTGTCTGGGCTGTCTGAACAGGCATGATATTTTTAACTCAAAGAGAATTTCTGCTATCTTGATGCCTCAGCAACAACCTTGTTTAGCAACCCTCTACCTTATGTTGCTCTTGGGCCTTCTATTGAATGAAAGATAGCACAAAAGTAAAGATTTATTTTGTACATTCTTTTATATGCCAATATCCTTTCAGAACATAAGTGATCATGGCTCTCCACAGCTTCCTATCCTTCATAACTCTAAATCTCTTTATTATACCTCCCAATCCTGTTCTGCCATCCATTTACATATGCTTATTAGATATATTACTCACTGCTTCCTTTGGTTACTTTTGCTTTCAATAAGTTTTGTGAGTATCAAATTTCCCAAGCCCTCTTTTTTTCATTACATGTACCAGAAATTTAAACCATAGAAAAATTTGAAAAATCTTATACAGGTCAGTGATGCATTGTGGTTTGTCTATTGTATTATTCTAATGGTTATTTTGGTGGATGGTAACGGTTATGTTTCAAATTATTCTAGGGGCTATTGAGTGGGAATTATTGTTGATCCTAATGCTGATTTTTGGCTATTTATAGTGTTGTTTGTTAACTTTTTTATTTATTATTTTAATCTATTTTAATTCTTAGTTGTTACTAGCAGTAGAGCCCGGCGTTTCCCGGGGATGTAACAGTAAGAGATAGATCAAGTATCGACCATCATAAAGACTGAAGAATAAAATTGACAAAGCTTATTGTTTAAGGTTGACCGACACGCATGTCTTAATTAGTTGTTTTTTTTTTGTTTTTTTTTTTGTTTTTTTTTATTAATTGGTCAAACCCAAACTCAAACAAAAAACATTGTTTTCAATCGTTATGAGTCTATCGATTGAATAGAATTTTATTATAAACAATTGTCTTGTAAATGGAATTTTTAAAGCATTCTGAATGTAAAAATAAAGAAAAAAGTGTGCAAGACAATAAGAAACACTACCTGCCAAAAAAAAAAAGTGAAGTTTTGTTGAAATCGGTTGAAAAATGTAGGAAATCCGATCCCATATATAAACGAGCACACACAAACAACCTGGGTTTTATAATAAGTATAACTCGATATGAGTTGTCCCCCTTTCATTCTGGCGACAGAATCGTGTTTTATCATGTTTTGAAATTAATTTCCTGCAAAAACAATTGTGTTTTTCCAATTTTTGGTGCTGTCAGAACCACTGCAAGGTAATTTTACGTAGTCCTATGAAGTTTTGTTGAAATCGGTTGAAAAATGTAGGAAATCTGATCCAATATATAAACGTACAGACACACACACACAATCTGCGTTTTATAATAAGTAAGATTATGTTTCTTTGTGTTTATCTGTGTGTTCAAGGGTTGTTAATTATTTGTTTATTATTTACTTAATTTGTTTATTTATTGGTTTATATTAATTATTTTACTTATTTTGTTTATTCTTTTTCTTATATGTATGTATGTGTGTGTGTGTATGTATGTGTGTTATCAATAGATAAAATGTTCATAGTACTTATAAATATTGTGAATATGTTATTTATTGATAATAATAATTATTGCTGTAGTTATCCATTGAGAACTCTGATTTAAAAAATTCAACTCACCTGACATTTTTTTTTCTTACAGTGAGTTCCACCCTGTACAAGCTACTCAAGGTAGAGGGTTACAGAGTAAGAGGCACATTTTATGCAGATTGGTGGGGAAGATAATGGTTAACCCTAGAATTGAACAGTTTAAAATTGTAGTGATTGGGAAAACATCTTCTTGGGAGTCGGTTCAACAGAGTCATAGTTTTTGGGAAGAAGCTGCTCGGGTGGAACTTATTTCTCAATGATAGAATCTAGAAGGAATGAGAGTGATTTGTATTAGGGCACAGTTGGCCTAATGAAGATCTTTAAGCAAAGTTATCTCTCTTAGGAGAGATGAAAAAAAAGTTTTTTTGTTACTTCCCCTGTTTTAAGGCACAGGTCTTTTTGGATACAATGTTCAGCCATGACAACAAGGTGAACTGGATAGATCTCCAAGGCTGACATCTTATCATTATGCATCCAGCAGCCCCACTTATCCCTCAAACTGATTTCCATTTAATAAAGTTTGTTGACAGTTTATCCTTCCATTGAATCTTATCTTTTCTGGGAATATAGCAATTTGCTACAATGTAGCCCATATATGGGAGGAATACTCCATTTTCAATCTTATTTGGCTCTTGTGAAAATAGAGGCTAGCAGATGGAGTTTGGTATTTACTTGAGTGGTAAAGGGACCAACCATTTTTCCCACATCTTTAGTGATGGATTGTATGTATGAGTTTGACTTGAGGTCTGAGTTGAGTTTGAGGCCCAATAGGCATGCATTAAATTACATAATATTATGTATATCAATAAGTTATTATATTAATATATTTATATACACACACACACACACACACACACACACACATAAGGATCTGCAATGTAATCGATCTTGACTTGGTATCTTGACTCCAGTCACTTTCTCACAGATAAAATGTGGCTTTGTCTTTTCTACAAATATTTTCATGGCAACTGTTCTGTCAAGGTTTTTCCCTGGTTCCCTGACTACATAAATTTAAGCATGCCACTAGGCCAGTATCTAGGTCCCACCCTTTTACCTTTGAAATAATCAAACACCTTCTTTTCTCGCACTTCTCCCCTGTGGAATTCCCTTCCATTTACTTGCTTCCCTGATAACTACAATCTTTAAAAATTTAAATGCAACATCAGTCGCCATCTTTTGATGTCTTGAACCCCATTCATCTTTTATCCTTTCTTCATTCCTCCATACACAGTTTTTTTTCTCTCACCTTCACTCTATGTAACTCCCTGTGAACTAGTGGAACTCCTGCCTTGCTTGCGGTGAAATGCTTAAAAAAAACTGTTAGACTTCATCAGTAAATTCCTTCTAGAGGATGAAATGTATTATACAATATTTTTCCACTTCGTCATTCAATCACCATACATGTATATATAGTCTACAATTTGAAGGGACTATTAATGCTGTTAAATGTTTTAGATCAGATATCATCATAATAAGGTCATTATTTCAAAAAAATTTTTCATTTATAAATCCTTTAATTCTAATTTTTTTATTTTTATTTTTTTAAAGGTTTTCAAACTCTTGGAGAAGAATATGTGAATATCATTCAAGTCAATCCTACATTAAGGCAACAGCAGCCATCATTGGTAAGTAACTGTAAATGCACAAAAGAAAATTGAAAAAGAAAGAAATATTTAGGATTTCATTATTTTATTTATTTATTATTTTTTTATGCTAATGTTCACTCAAAATAAGGCTCAAGAGCCACTGAAGGTAGAGGTTTACTATGTAGTGTTGCATCAGAGTAAGAAAAGGCAAGAATTGCAGTTCATTAGTAAGAAAGATAACGGTTAAACCTAGACTTGAAGAGGTCAAGCTTGTAGTGATCAGTAAAATATCCTGCTGGGATTCTGTTCCACAAAGCAGCTGCTCTTGGTATGAAGCTGTCTGAGTGGAATTTACTTTTACTAATAGAATAAAAAGGGAATGATGATGATTAATCTTTATATACATGGCATGGAAGGTCCCAGCTACAAAGGTTAAGTAATTAGAGATATTTGTGTGTCTTAAGTGATAAGTAAGTTTTGTTAATATCTACACATAAAAACAAATCCTTTACTTTGTTCTATAAATATGCATAGTACATTATTTTTACCAGGCCTTTTAATTGTATAATAAGGCATTCTATAAGTTATTCAACTCATTTTTTATATATATATATATATATATATATATATATATATATATATATATATATATATATATATATATAGGATTAAAATCTGTCACTTAACTGATTGATGTTACCTTCAACATCCTGACTCCAGAGTTTCATAGATGGATCTATTTGTCCACTCTTCAGGGGTATCAGCAGTTTATATATTTATATATATATATATATATATATATATATATATATATATATATGTGTGTATTCTTGTATGCATGTATACAAGGAGTTGCTGAAAAGATCTGTCCAACCAAGACAAATTAGCTATAGTAATGTAATTGTACATGCTATTCTGCACATTATTCCTCAGGTATTTTAGTCCTAATTTAAAAAAAAAAAAATTCTGTTACTTGGTCATTGAAATACTGATCTAGGGAAGTAGGTTGGGCTGAGAAATTTTCAACACCCCTCACATATTTTCTTCCAGTTCAAGCAAGACCTGTGGCTGTACATGTATTTTGTTTCTCTATCATGAATGTCTTTTTCTGCAACTGTTCAATCTTCATTATGACAAAACTAACATTTATTTGATTTATAAATTAGATGTGCAGGAAGTTAGGGAAATTTCTAAGCATTTCACTTCATTGCTTATACATTATGTTTATCAGTATTCTTTATTACTAGCAGAACCTGTAGCTGAATAATTTTTATGATGTGAATTAAGAATTGCATGCAATATAAATTTTATGCATGGGCACATTAAAAATAGAATACAGTATAAATCTTATGATGTCTTTTGCATGTGAGGTATAGTGGATAATATGAAACCTGAGAAAATTGCAGACCTTAGAATATTGCAGATTTTGGAAGACGCTAAATCTATGCTAAATGATTTGAAAAGGATTAAGATGAAAATATCAATTTCCATGCCTAGAAAAGTGTATTCCCTCACAGCTGTGAGGTCTAGATAATTCAGAAAACAGTAACCATAATTTGAAACAATAGATGTGTTAACTAACAGCTGACACATTCAAGAGGTGAAAATTTTCAAAGCTGATGATGTTGCTGGCATCACAACTACAAGACACAGTAAATGCACATGTGCAGGAAATTGGGGCACGTGTGGGTGCCAAAATTGGAAGTTCTTAAGTGCAAGAAAGATCACCTCCAATGAATCACATGGTCAGAATTGACCAATCGAAATGAAGTATGATGAATATTGTTGACATCAAATTAAGCCAATTTGTTATTGCTTATAGGAAGAGCATTGACTTATTCCTTGGTAGAAGTTATAATACTGCTGTAATCTGACTAGTACAGCCATTTTCATCTTGTTCCAGAGATCTGGAAGACTTTGTCAGATATGTCTTTTCCAGGTTCTGGAAAAGATGTATTAACATTGACTGGGAAAAACTGAGAGAAGATTACTGAATTGACTATCAGCTGTAATGAAGAAGTAGCGACCCAACAGTCCAGACACAACAGCCAGAAGTGATAAGCTCCAAGCAACTGTGGGTCAAAAAAGTAGGGGAGTTATGAATTGGTAGTCATAGACTAGTTTATAACCCTGGTCACTAATGCTATAATATGTACTATGACCAACAATAGTTCTCCAGTAGCAGTTTTATAATAGAATGCAATATAAATTTTATGATACAGTGTATCTAGTTTTATTTAAATTGCGTACATACATATACATATAATACTAAAAGTCTGTGATTCCATGCATTCTTGTGTGGTGCATCTGTCCTGTGCATGATTTATGAGATGTTTATACAGTAAGTATTTTTATTTTAACTTACGTCAAACAGACAATTTTTTTACTTAAACATTTTTAAGTTAAAGACATGCACAAAGAGATTCCACTTTGCTGTTTTGTCCAGTTGTTTGTAAAGTAATTATTTATGTTTCAGATTTCTTTAAACAAACAATATTTTAAATATTTAAAAAAATATTTTTTGGCATATTTAAGAAATTAATAGTTTATCTCAGAAGTTCTATTCCTATTAAATGCTGTAAACAATCAGCAAAACATTAAACTTGTAAATCAGACGAATGATGACACAAATGAATTGAAATATTTAAATGAACCATAATAAAATTAACTTTCATTTCAATGGAATATTGAAATCAACTTCAATGTTTTATAACCTGAACTGTCAGTGACCCAATTGGGCACATGTAGTCTAGTATATATTATATATATATATAGGAAAATCTTGGGCTTGTTTAGGTTTCAACATCTTTTACTCCTCAAGAGTAGCAATAAATTCTAAATTTGGCAATATATCTCTTTCAATAATCTTTGATGATTGTTAGGTAAAAATGATTTAAAAGATTTATATGATATTGTAACATTTATTTTTCCCTCGTTTTCTTTCAGAAAAGACTTTTGATGATAATTCTACATGTGTCAAGTCCTTACGTTCTACAAAGAATCCTGGATATATGCCACCGTCAGCTAACTACTCCAGGTTCCAACCTTGATTTCTTGTCACCACAGTCTAAGCATTTCATTCTCAAAATCATCCCTGTCATCAAGCAATGTCTTATGTTTGCCCACAGACTTCATCTTGCTGCTTTCTACCTGAAAGGAATTTTCTATCACGTTGCCAAAAGAGTTACTAACACACATTATGTAAGGAAAAATCTATTTTTTCTTTAACTGTCAAAATGTACAACCTTTATTTTTAATTGTATTGAATACTTAGAAGAATAATTTGGAAAATATCAAATCTAATACAAATCCGCATTTAAAGAAAACATATTTATCATGGTTATCAATTGAGTCTTAGAGATCATTATGACTATAATGAGTTTAGTTTGCATTAAGTGCTCAATATGTATTACCTTGTGTCAGGCTTATGGTTCTTAAATGCTAAAAGGGATTCAGCTTGTAACCAAATTTTACTCTAATTTGATTTTATCTGCACAATATTTCTTCCATTATTACAGGCTTTGTTTGCACAAAACCTTTTTACAGAAATACTATTAATGATACAAAAGACCATCTTCATCCTGAAAAAGTGATGCCATGTATATGATAGCATTGCAAGTGATTTCTCTATTATAAGTTCCTTTACTGCTGTATATTAATGATCTGCCTCGTGGGAAAATGAAATAAAACAATAATAATGAGTAATAAAAAAAAAAAAACATTTTCCCATGGTGCTAAGAGTAAAAGAACTAGAAATATGATTACCCTATTTGGTTTTGCCTAAGGTCGTTTGGTGGCATTGTTGAAGCCTATAAAATGGCAAGCATTTCCTGCCTCACTCTCTTTCTCTTCTTTGATCCACGATGTGAACCACATAGTAATTACATTCCCACTGGGTGATATTAGTTTCCCCAGTCCACTGATGACTGAACTCTCTTCCCACTTTCCAATGCATGGCATTTGCATGTTTCTTCCAAAACCTCAACCTATGAAGTCAAGCATTCTCTTTAATTGTTCCAACTCAGCACAAGACTGACTTGAGTGTGACCATACTTATACTGACTTACCCTAACTTCTGAACTAAGAAAAAGAAGATGGACGTCTCATAACCATGTTTAAATCTCCCAGTGATAAAGTAAATAGAAACTTTCCCTTGGTTGTTCCAACTCTGCACAAGGCTGACTTGAGCTAGACCATGAATACTTCTGGACCAGAAAGAGAACGGGCATACCCAAGAGATATGGAGAACTTTGTTTCACTACTGTCACCATAAAAAGAATAAATGTCCATAGTAGAAACTATTGCCTAAAAAAAATCTCAGATCACTAGTTAATATATATGCAGATGATATCACGTTTTATGGGAGCACCACCTAAAATCCAGATGACCAGAGCCTGGCAGCTGATCTCTCATATGAACCTTGCTCACACAGATCAATGGAGGAGGTACCAGCTTATAACGTTCAATACCACCTAAACCAATCTAGAAACATCATCACAGAGCAGACTGCGTTTTCTCCAGGCATAATGAGCGATTGTAATCTCAATGAGGCTTCCTGCCTGGAATGTCTCTTTAGACACAAGCTCATACCAAACCTCAAGTGGAACTCATATATATGAACCATTGCTAAAGATGCTGGAAAAATGATTGGTTCCCTGTACTGCTCCAGAAAGTACTTGACTCCTGCCATTCTCTATCTTTGCAAGAGTCAGATCAGACGATCCTCACTTTCCAACCTCAATAGAGTTGAAAAGCATTTGTATGGCCTTGTGGGTAATGACTTGTTCATGACGTTCTTTACTTAAGGTCAAGTCATAATTTAACTCATGCCCAGAAATGGCGGCTTATTTCAAATCTTATTGTTTCACTGTGAGCAAAGATTTTTAACTTCGGTTTATCTTTGCGGTAGTTCACTCAAGAAATGTTTGCTTTTTACATTTAGAATACCTTTAGTTTATTTAATTGAAATAAGTATAAGATTTATTTATTGTATTTACTTCAAACTTGCTATATTATTTTCATTGCAAAAACAAACATTTTTTATGCAAAATTCATTAAAAAAATCTAATTTAGAAAACTTGGTTTTGTTACTTAGAATTTAATTTAACATTTTTCGCTTAAAGTTAATTTAATATTCTTCTCTATGAAATTTTTATTTCTTATCTTTTTTCTCAATGACCTTTTTCTTGATTCTGCTTTTACACATGAAAATTTATTTTAAGTGCTTTTATCTGTTACATAAAGTTAATTTAATATTTTTTTTATTATAGTATTATTCATAACAACAAATATAATGATGATGAAATTTAATTTTTTTATGATTATTTAGTGTTTTTCTTTCTAAAAGTTATTTATGAAAAAGTATGTTGAGTTTTAGTTTAGTTTACTGTTAAAATTAAAAGCTGTTGCATTATGGATTGGATTCCCAAGAGGATACTTTTCCAATCACTACAATCTTAACATCTTCAAGTCATTGGTCAACCATTTTCTATCCTACATATCCTCATAATATGCATGTCTTGCTCTTTCTTTGTATGCTCTTACAGCAATCTCATTTAGTAACCTTCTAGCTTGAGTGGCTCTTGGGCCTTGTATTGAGTGAACAATAGTAAAAATAAAAAAATGATTGACTCAAACTGCTCCTAGTTAAGTCAACTGAAGGCAATAATCTGTGAAAAACACCCAGAATTAAGAGAAAGGACATTTATATTCCTCCAGGTTAATATGTGAAAGCATGTTCCTCTACCTTGAGTGGCTCTTAATACAAGTTAATACAAGAAAGCATGTTCCTCTGGTGATGAAACAAAAATTGCTGAGTAATTGTTACTCATTTACCAGATATTGATCTATTTTTTCTGGTCTTTAAGAATTGTCCTAATTAAAACATTTCCTGTAAAAATTAAAAAATGACACCCAAAGTGAGTTCTAAGAGCAAGGCATTATGAAGTTGACTGAAAGATGGTGAAAGATACTGGAACAAAATGCTAAATATATTTTCCAATATATCTAATATCAAAAATAAAATATTAGCCTTTCATTTTTGTTTAATAAACTTAACAAACATCTTGGGCACAATCAAATATGAAATAATATTAGTTTAAGTTTCTCTATTGCTACAAAAAAAATAAAAGTACTTTGTCAAAAGAAATGCTAAATAAAATTTTGTAAAAGCATTAGAATAAGATGGGCATAACCCACATTAATGTCAATGTAAAAAAAACAAAAAAACTTTGTTTTGTCATTTTTCTTATTTTCATTTAATTTCTGCTATTTCGATTGTAGGTACAGTTTTCTACAAAACCCCAAAGATCCCTTGCAATCTTCCGGGTGCTGGGTTGGTTGGCTGCTGCTCAGCTGATTGGAGGGTCAATGGTCAGTGTGCACCGATTCATCCAGACATGGCAGGAGGAAATTAAGGAGCCAGTGACGCAGATACAAACCAAACAGTAAGCCATTTATTTTATATATATATATATATATATATACCCAAGTATATAATTGGTATATACAGAATGAATTCCAATAACCAACAATTACTATTCTTAAAAGAGTGCTCAATACAAAGTAGAGCAGATATAATTATTATTTATAAAAAAATTATAATATAAGTATGTTATAAAATCACTACAAAAATGTTTCCCCCTAGTGTAGGATCGTTAATTAATCTGAAACTTTTAAAACCATTTATTTTATCTTCAACATCATCACTTGATAAGACACCGAGTGTGTTGAAACAAAATGGCTATTTTTGTAGTGATTTTATAACATACTTATGTTATAATTTTTTTATAAATAATAATTATATATATATATATATATATATATACACACACACACACACAGGGCAATGGGTAAATTGTTGCCATTTTATATTTTTAATTTTGTGCATTGTTTGTTTTTGATTTTGTTGACTGCACAGTATAGTAGGGTTCATTGGGCACCATCTGTGAGAAAAAGAGTATCATGATGCAATCCACTCTGCTAGAAATTTGGAAACGGCATGCTGTAATGCTGGATATTTGTGCCAGAAGCTCCAGTATGAACATTTCAGAGTGTTTCAGTTTGAGGACAGTGCAGAGGATTTGGAAAGAATTGGATGATATATCCAGTAAACAGCATGGTGTTTGGAGTGATCATTAGAGATGGTGATGTTATGCCTCCATTCATCTTCCCACAGAGCCTCAGACTCAACACGGGGGCTTACATCAAATGACTTGAATAGGTAGTGCTGCCCTGGGTCAAGAGGGTGGCTGTTGGAAGACCCTCTATCTGACAATAGGATTCTGCACCATGCCACACAAGCTGGAGAACCCAATTATGGCTCAGGCAATTTCTGCGACCACATCATCCCTTACATCTGGCCAGCTAACTACCCAGACAGCCATCCCTTTGATTATTATGTGTGAGGAGCAGTTGTGCGAGGGACCAACAAAACTTCATGTGACACCAAAGATAAACTGAAGGCAAGGATTATGGCAGCATTCAACAACTTAAATAAGGAGACCATACAGAAGAGTTGCAAGAGATTCCAAAGTTGTCTGGAGGACACAGTTGAAGCTAATGGCAATTTTATTGACTAAATTTACTCTTTAGTATATCAAGATATTTTTGTGTAATTTAGGTAAATATCTCTGTTAAAATGAGATGCCAGTATTATTTTCATTGTGTTTATATATATATATATATATATATATATATATGATTTTGTTAGAAAAATCAATGACAAAGAGGAAAAACTTTGAATGTCATGCATTTCATCCTTAAGACTACACCAGACTAAAATTGTTTATATTAATGTGACTACATATGCACACAAAGGAGAGGGGATGTTGAAATTTTAATTGTTTTAATTTAAAAATTTTAAATTCTTTAAATTGAAATTTTAAATTTTAGTGTCCCATCTCAGCACATATGTAGTCATATCAACATAAACATCACTTTTGTTCAATGAAGTATGAAATGTGTCCCACAAAATTTTTTTCACTTTGTCATTGATTTTTCTAACTTTGTTCTGGTATATAAAAAATTTATATTTTTTTTTCTCACATATATATGTGTGTGTGTGTGTGTGACATAAATTATTTCTTAAGGTCTCAATTTGAAAACCCTAGTAATTCTTTATAGACTTTACAATCTCGCTAGGCCAAACTAAAATCAGATGAATTATTAGTTTGGAAAGAAAGTCCTGTCACATTTGAAGATAGAAAAGAAACAAATACTTCTTTAGTCGTAATTGATTTATTTAATCAAGATGATATTTAGACTCATTATTGGTAACATAATCCCATTTATTTAGCAAATTTTTGATAGCCTGGCCTTTAGGTTTCAATGCAAATAAACATTCTATGTCAATTTCAACCTCATCATAATTAATAAAATGTTGCAATGGTCTGAAAAGATGAGCAAGATCAGGAGAGTAAAAATGATAAAGTAAAACTTTGATATTTAGTACTATAATCTTTTCCTGTGCGACTCAGACAATATGTTATTACATTAGCATGTAAGAGATGGTTTTCAAAGTGAATGTAAGATTTACTTTTATCAAATCATGAAATGAAGGTCATTTTGAACAGGCTCATATCCAGATCTTTTCATATGAACACAGGCATCCCCTAAGGCTCTGTCCTGGGTCCTATGTTGTTTCTGATCTTCATCAATGATCTTCCTGATGTCATCAGTTCCCAACTAGGTATTTATGTAGATGACACTGTTTCAGTAGCAACTCCAACAGATCTGACAAAGTAAACCTGGCAACTGCTCTTGAAAAGGACCTCCAATCAGTGGTTAACTGGGGCAAGAAATGCCTTGTAAATTTTAACACCTCTAAAATAAAACTGCTTTCATTTAACCATCGCAGAGAACCTTTTCTGTCTGCCACTAGACTCCAGGAGAGCAATATACTATGCCTTCTTGGCCTCACATTTTCCACTGACATGAAGTGGAGTGACTATATTGAATTAATAGTTGCATTTACTGAAATGAAAGTTAGGTTACGATGTCATGACAGAAAATCTTTCTTGTCAGAATCCATCTTGCACATTTACAAATCTACCATTCATGTGTGCATTGAATACTGTTGCCATATCTAGTCTGGTGCTTCCACTGTACATTTTGAGATTCTTGACAAAATCCAAAGAAAGATCTGAAATTGATCCTGATCAGGCATCTTGATTTCAGTCACTTTCTCACTGACATGATGTGGTTTCCCAGTGTCTTTTCTACATATATTTTCATGGCAACTGCTCTGACAAGCTTTTTTCCTGGTGCCCTGATTACAAGAATTTAAGTGTGCTACTAGATTGGCATCTAGGTCTCATGCTTTTACTGTTGAATTAGCTAAATGCAACTGCTACTTTTACTCTAACAGTTTCTTTTCTTGCACTGTGAAATTCTCTTCCATTTTCTTGCTTCCCTGATAACTACAATCTTCAAAAATTTAAATGCAATGTCAGTAGCCATTTCAGTCTTCTTAAACCCTGTTCATCTTTTTTCCTTTCTTCAATCCTCCCTATTCTCAGTCTTCTCTTTCACTCTGTAACCCTCTGTGTACTAGTGGCATTACTGCCTTGCTTGGAGTGAAATGATTAAAATATACAGTTGCGGCCAAAAATGTTCAGAACGGCATTGTTTTTGTCAGAAAAGTAGGTATAAGTTTTTATCAAAGTTGTTTTATATTCTATAATTTTCACAGACAATAAATACCATATTAATTGTTATTGTCTGAAATTTTGGTGTAATTTGAGAGGATAATACAAAAGTTATGGATGATTTAGTGATTTATGGCAAAACCCATGGCGGCCAAAATGATCAGAACGGTTGCTTTTACTCTGTGTTTTAGTATATTTAACCGGCGAACTCTAATTTTTTTAATTTGTTTACGTGATGGTTCGTTTACTAAACATTAGTAAGAATATCTGCAATGTACTTTAATATAATGCCACTTACTCCATTACCAATTCGTCAGCAGATTATTAAGCTTCGAAAGAAGGATAATTTAAGTATTGGGTCTATTGCAAAGATTGTTAACATGTCAAAAAGTGTTGTTCATGGTATTCTTAAGGTCTACGATGATTGTAGTTCGTGTGAAGCAAGAAAGTCTACAGGTAGGCCAAGAAAAATGACCATAAGAGAAGATTGTACTATGGTAAAGTTGGTTAAAAAGGACTGATTTAAAACTGCTGCTGCTGTTTCTTGGGAAATGAGCATTGTACTGAAGAAAACTTTATCTCGAAAAACTGTGTCTCGTTGTTTAGTTGAACATGACCTACAAGCAAGAGCACCTGCAGTGAAGCCACTGATCAGCTCCAAGAATAAAAAGTGTCGTCTTACCTTTGCAACCGAACATGTGTTGTGGTCTCAAGAAAAATGTCAAACAGTGCATTTCAGTGATGAATCTAAGTTTATGTTATCTGGCTCAGATGGGAAAAGGTACGTTCGTCGAAAAGTAGGTGAAAAATTGTCGCCTAAATGCCTTAAGACTAGTGTTAAATTCGGTGGAGGAAGTGTCATGGTTTGGGGGATGATATCTGGAGATGGTGTGGGCCCTTTGGTGCAATTACATGGAAAGGTAAATGCAGGAGTTTATAAACAACTTGTAAAAGATCATGTCTTGCCTGTGCTGAGAAATTCAACTAAGCGACCATCCATATTCATGCAGGACAATGCCCCATGTCACAAGGCTATGGTGGTCATGAACTTCCTCAAGTCTGAAAAGATTATTGTTATGGATTGGCCTGCTCAAAGCTCAGATCTCAATCCTATTGAAAATGTGTGGAATATTCTAGGAGAACGTTCGAAAGCCAAAAATCCTAAAACAACCAAGCAATTATGGAATGTTCTTCAGGAAGAATGGAATAAGATCACCCAGCAAGAAATTGAAAATTTAATTTCCTCATGTAGTCAAAGATGTTAAAGTGTGATTGAAGCTAAAGGGCTTCACACTAAATATTAAATAATTCCAGTATTCTCTGTCATTTTTGGTTATTTTGTTATTTTTTCAACCGTTCTGATCATTTTGGCTGCCATGGGTTTTGCAGTAAATCACTAAATCATCCATAACTTTTGTATTATCCTCTCAAATTACACCAAAATTTCAGACAATAACAATTAATATGGTATTTATTGTCTGTGAAAATTATAGAATATAAAACAACTTTGATAAAATCTTATATCTACTTTTCTGACGAAAACAATGCCGTTCTGAACATTTTGGCCGCAACTGTATGTAAAAAGATTACTTAATTTTAACTTTAGATATCAATTTGTTGTTTTCCCCGACTTCGAAGTTTTTTGGTAATCCGTTCTTTAAGGGGTTCTGTTTTTTAAAATCTTATATATATATATATATATATATATATATATAAAAGCAGGTTCCTCTGTATTGATATAAATGTATTAAAATAACACGCCATTATGTTATCATTAGCTAAAAGATCCTGTCCCAAAGTGATCACAATAAGCATTTTCCTCTGTATAGAGATAAATGTATTAAAATAACACATTATCATAAGAGGTTATTTTTATCTAAAAGACCTTGTCCCAAAGTGATCACAATAAATGGCTTCCTCTTTTATAGAGATAAATGTATTAAAATAACACATTATCGGTTAATAGCTTATTGTTATATAAAAGACCCAGCCTCAGAGTAATCACAATAAACCATTTCATTACTATATGGATATTATAGCATATTTTATGCAGATTTTTAATGTCTTTAAAATTTTCTATATTCAGATCAATAGGCTTGTAATAATTATTAACCTCACTTTATTTTAAACATTTTATTTTTTTTAAAAATGACATCGGATAAATATCTATTTTCTTAATTTCAGTTTCCATGAGAAGCTTTCTCATGACAAATGTTCATTATGTCTGGAACCACGACAGAACACCACTGCAACACCTTGTGGCCATCTTTTCTGCTGGAATTGTATTCAGGAATGGTGCCAAACTAAAGTTTGTATCAGTGTTTCATTATTTTCAGATAAGAAGTTTTTATTTGATAAGTATCAGCTTTGATGTTGCTAACTCAGTTGCATAAACATGACAAAATGAACTCCACTATTTATTTAACAATTAAAAAATGATAGTAAATTTGTAAGTTTGTACTTTTTCAGGCATTGAATTTATCAGATCTGCTATCTTGTGGGATATTTAATCAGGTTGCATTCAAATCACAAAGCAAATTTTCTCTTGCAATTTTTTAAATATTTTTCTTATTTAATGACCCAATGTATCTCAGACATGTTCAGTAGGATTTATACCAGGAGACTGGTTTAATCATGAGAATTGCTTGATATTTTTTGAATTTGTCATTCTATAACAACAGTCCTTCACATTACTGACTTGTGACTAGCCAATATTCCTAATTAAGGAACAATGTTTTAATACAGGGTATCCATAAAGTTCTTGTGTACTTTAGAAAATTTATAACTTTATTTGTATTTTCGATAGAAATAATTTGTAAAAAAGGATTAGAAAGAAGTAAATCTATATTTTTAAGGTTTTATTGAAATTTTATTTAAGTTTCCACATGTCCATCATTAGCAATACAAAGGGTAATACGATTTTGCAGTTTACAGAAAACATATGCCAATTGATTTACAGTAATGCCTGAAATCTCATTAGTTATTTTAGCTATACTTAAAACTAGGTACATTAAACTTCATAACATTTTTTTTACAGATTATTTCTATCATAAATACAAATAAAGTTATAAATTTTTAAAGTGCACACGAACTTTATGGACACCCTGTATGTTCATTTTAATTGCAATTATCAAATTCTGTACCCCTTTCAAAATATTTAGGTAATTTTAATTTCAATCAAACAAAATAACAAATTCTTATTAATTTTTACAGTTGGTTTGTCAGCATAAGTTAAATATATTTCTTAGTGGAGAAGGAGAAAGTTCTTTTTTATCCAAATCTCTTTGAAGTCAAGCTTAACAACAAACAATTGGTTTCTGACATGTGCCTCAGCATTCAGTAAATTATAATTAGTTTTTATTGTTGTACAGTGCTGTTCAATAAAAGTGACTCACCTGATTTTTTTTACTAAATGTTCTCTTCTCCGATGAAATGCAAGTTGAGCTAAATTCAAAGGATAAGCAATCTAAAATCCGAAGAAAGAAGCTTTGAAAGCTCTTTGAATTTAGCAGTAAGTACTGTCAAGCATTTGTTCAGTATATTGTTCTGGGGATGCTTTTCTTCTCATCCAACTGGTTTCTTAAAATCTATTGAAAAGACCCCCAGGAGCGAACAGTACAAGAGAATTTTAGAGTCTTGTCTGCTCCCTTCTGCTGAAAGGGTGCAAATCGACCCCACCAAGCTCATTTTTATGCAGGATAATTCTCCCTGTCACAAATCAAAATTGATGAAGGAATACTTTGCTGAGAGGCAGGTGAGTGTTATGACATGGCCGCCCTAATCTCCTGACCTCAACCCCATAGAAAACTCATGGAGCATTATAAAGTACAGGCTCTCGAGAAAGCAGTTGAGCAACAAAGAGGATTTGATTGTGAATTTCATATCCGAATGGAATTCAATGCTTGGAGATGAGATTTGCCAGAACCTAATCAAGTCAATGCCAAAAAGGGTTGAAGAGGTCATTCAAAATAAAGGAGGACCCATAGGTTATTAGATATTTCGAACTGTGTTACCTATTATAAATAAATTATACCTCTATTATTCTTTATTTAAAGCTGTTCGGTTATGTTTCTATTGATTACTAGTTGCATGAAATAAGTGAGCCACTTTTTTTGCACAGAATTTTTCCCTGTGTGTGTATATATATATATATATATATATATATATAAATGATTATGAACAGTTAAGGAATTATTTCAAATAGTTATAATTATTCTGGCAGATTTTTATGGTAGTATCAATTGAATATATTATTACTCATTATTGCTTGATATGATTAATTAACTTATTGAGGTTGCAAGATATAATATTTTTCATTATTACAAATTATTTTTTATACTAGTCTAATCGTACTTGTTGGTCCAATCTACTTTTTTATCTTTAAAAGCAATGTGATTCAAAATGTTTAGCAATTATTTCTCTCTTACTAGGCTGATCTGGTAATACAGAACAAATGCTCTATTGATCAGCATCTTTATTCCATGGAAAGAATACATTAAATAAGGGAAATTTTAATTTTACAACAATTCAGCAACTGGTTCAACAAACTTTCACAGTTTTAGTAACCATGTGTTAAAATGAGAAAGAAACCAGTTAATTTTTTTATTTTGAATTTTGTGATTGATTTTTTAAATTAAAAAGAAAATGTTCTTTTTTTTTTTTTCCTTATCTCGTATAGGGTGAATGTCCTCTGTGTCGTGAGAAATTTACCACAAGTCGCCTCATCTTCCTTCAGAATTATGATGGATGACAAAATACTGATGTTTCTCTCAACAGTTTTATTGTTTATATGTATAAGAGAATAAATTTTGTAATAAAAATTAAAAGTAATTTTGCTTTTATTTAAATATTTTGGATACTACCAGAATATAAGAAAGCTTTTCTTTTAAAGTCTCAAATTTTTAATGTCTTCTGACATTGTAAGAGGCAAATATGAAATAAGTCTTTTAAAAATTGGTCAAAAAGTATTTCCATTATTTCACACATTTCTTTTACTAGTGTTTCATCTATGTTACTTTTTATGACAATATTTTGTTCTTAAGCCTTCTACTTGATCTTTTTCCAAACTGAATTTATTCATAAATTTTATCAGTTTGAAGGCTGTCCATATAACAAGCACATTTGTGAAGGGATTCTTGTAAATTAGAAAAGAAGATTGTTAAATATAACAGACACAAAGTGTCTATTGTTTTTAATAAAAAAATTGTTGTAGCATACCTCTGGGTGATAATTGGTATGTCCCCATTCATATAAATACAGTAGTAAATACTGTATGTTGGTCTGCAGTTGGAGATTCGTTTCCAGCTGTGCTGGTCAAACTCTCTGACTTTGGGCGGAGTGGATCCCCAGACAAGGCTATACTGAAGGGCCAAGTCTCCTCTCGGGAAACAGCTACCTGACCCCATTTTATAAGGGTTCTACGGGGAATTTTTGGCTATGGGCTCAGATACCCCACATTAAATCTGATATGATCTCATCCATCAATACTAACAACTAAATGGAGTTTTTATCTTTAATCCTATGCTCAGTCTTTGTATATGTCTATTTTTAGAAAACATTGTATAAGTCAACATATATGTCTATAAATATAATGTTCAGATAGTTTAGAAAAGTGGGTTTTAATTAGTAGTTGACTGGAGATGTCAGTAGTATGATTAATCAGTCTTTATAGTGTTTTGGTCTGTATTGGTATTAATTGCTGGATTGTAACAATTTGATTTCTCACACATCTTTAGAAGATAAGGAGATAAATTATTTTCTTTTAAGTCAATCTGAGTTTCGTAGGAATGTCGTCTCCAGTCCATCCCTGAGTAAATTTTAGTTTGGGGGGTTTATGTCTACAGCTGTTTTTGAATTTGGAAACAAAAAAATTTTATAAATGATTTTAGATAGTCATAAAAATAGTCTTTTGAAGATTTGACCACCCATGTGGCTTTGGGGTGGTGCCAAATCTTCCGGTAGAAGTGGATAGAGGGGGTTGGACCCGAGGATTATCCATATAAGCAGAAAGAGGCAGGAAGTTGAGAGAGAGAAAAGTGTGTCCAGCCGTAAGAGAAGTAGGTAGGTGACCAGAGGAATTGGAGCTGCCCAGCAGCCAGTGACAGAAGGACCAGTAGTGAAGAAACAGGAATCACCGAGGCCAGTTAAGTTACAAAAATGGCAGCCCACTTCTCGAAGCTGAAGGAAGGATCCCACATTTGAGAGATTTTATTGTTGCTACTTCCCAACCAGAGAATCTTGAAAAACAATTGTCTTCATTTTTTTTTTTTTTGTTGAAAGTGATCATGCCTGAGAAGACAAACCTGTACACATAAGTTGGATGTATATGCAAATACACTCAACTTTAGATGTCATCACAGGTGTAGTGAGTGAGAAACAATTGGAGAACATCATCACAAAATTTGTCACAATTTCAGCACAAATGGCATCACATGATAAATAGGTTCTTTTAAGTCTGTCAGAGAAAAAAAAGTAAAAAAGGTAGATTTGGAGTTTTTCATACTCCATGCACAGTGTACATTTTTGTATTCCTCAGTGTTTCAAATATGACTTTCGAAAAAAGGAATAACATTAAAAAAATAAAGTGAGAAAAGATGTTTTGTAAATGGATTTTAAAGAGTTCTTTTCAGTCAAAAGCTTTTTTCAAATTGAAAATGATTTCTTGAAATGAACACAAGTTATGGAATATTTGCAATCTTTAGTCTTATTATTTGGACTAATATCCTCAGTTTTGGTCATGTTTTGACTAATACATTCTCTAATTTTTATTGAGTATCTATGTTGCATGTAGTAATTGTTAAAAAGAAAAAAAAATTACAATTGTATCAAGAATTTTTCTCATCATCCTTAACCTCTGCTATTCCTTAAGAGGAATGGTATGCTAATTTCTAAGTAAAAAGCAAAGAATCAATCCTTAAATTTTTCATTTACCATTTAAACTTCTGTAAAACAAAAACTCTTTTAGTAAAAAAAAAAAAAATAAAATAAAATAAATTTTGTAATTTTTCATATATAAAAGTTGATCTATTTTTAAAAAAATTAGTGTGAAGCAAATAAATTAATTGTTATGCCATCTGCAGTTCCATATTTAAATGATACATGAATCATTTATTTTGGTAAGCTAGAGTATTAAGTGTGGTAGATAAGAGCATGAAAAAGCAATTGTAATATTCAGAATTTTATAAAATCTTCCAATAAGTCAGGATTCTACCTATGCTTTGATAAATTGGGTTCATACAAATTTCAGACACTTGAAAGTAGTTTCTATGTAATCTCTTAACCCTTAAAATTAAACCGGGGAGATGAAGGGGTGATCAATTTTTATGAGTCTGTACAGTATTTATAAAGAAACAAATGATCATGTCTAGAAAATGGTATAGCTAGTTAGCTATACTAATCAACGTTAGTGAAAAAGTAAATAAAAAAATTCTTTTGCCACAGTAACTGTGCGAAAGTAAGTAAAGTTTATTTCGACTTGAAAAGTTGAGAGTTAGAGAAAAAGGGAAGGTTCGAACTGCAGGATGGCTAAGTTGGTTTAGAAGAGAAAAAATGTGCAGCACACACAAAGACATCATCTGGTTTATTTAGTAATAAATGCTGCATAAACTCGAAAATTAATTTTTCTAGATCAGGCCTTTTCTGAAGATAAAGTTGAAAGGCTGAATCGATATCCTCCTGAAAATAGGTAAAAAGAAATTTATATAAGGTGAGATCAATATTTTAAAACCAGTTTTGGAAGCTTGTGTTGGGATTTTAAACAAACTATTACAGATGACCTTTTTTTTTTTTTTTTTATGGTGTTTTCCTTTTTGGTGAGTAGCAGAAAACGATTTTTTTGGTGAATCTAATACAGAATGAATATGTTAGAAGCATTCTGATAGTAATAACCAGATGGAAAGAAATACTGTGATCATCCACTTTAAATGTAATGAGAAGATGACGTGTGCTTCAACAAAATAATAAAAAAACAAGTAAATTGCTCTTGAATGAACCTAAAATTATTGATAACTGGGCTTTTCTGGGATTTTCCCAACACTTTTCAAGCTGTGCACAAACATAAATACTTTGTCTTTTTTTGGTAAAGAAACAGATCATGTGTGGAACTGCACAAAAGCTGGGAAGCTTTTCTTCCCTTCCCTCCAAAAAAAAAAAAAAAAAAAAAAAAAAAAAAAAAAAAAAAAAAATTGATGAGTTTGCTTAACTTTAATTCTGCCAAGAATCTTAGCATAATCACAAAACTTCTCAAAACAATAGCATTTTTGATAGGATAGTATTTTACACAAGTAATTTGCCAAATTTTGAAAGTAGATGAAAAAAATATTTAGAAAGTACTTTCACACACTTAATACTCTCTAGTTGATTATGTGATGGGTGTTAGCCCTGCATTGAAATACAGTGGTACCCAATTGCAGGCTCATTCAGGTGCTCAGACCATAAGCAGGTGAAATTTATATACCTATTTGAGTGCATCTGGCCTTAAAAGTTAACACTAGTGAGAAATGCAAATAATATTGATAGTACATTAATTTGTTCTTCTTTCTTTATGTGTCATGTCCCTTCAGTATGTAGGCAATCATGATCCTCCACTCCCTCCTGTTCCTTGTAGCTCTTAATAAGTTTTTGTTATTTCTCCCAAACCCTGTTCCACCATCCATTCGCTCAAACCTACCAGGTATGTTACACATTGTTTTCCTCTATCTGCCCTGTGAGTATCAGATTTCCCAAGCTCTCCTTCCTCATTATGTGCTCCAGAAATTTCATCTGCTTCTTCCTGATGTTAAGTATAAGTTTGCATTTTCTCCAAAACCTTGTTGTTGCTCACGTTTGGTCCATGGTATCCTCAACATCTTTCTGTAGAACCACATTTCTGTTTCTTCAAGTCTCTTCTTCATCTTTGAGGAGATTGTCCAGCATTCACTGCCATATAGGAGGATAGATATCATGTAACAGTTCAGTACTCTTTTCTTTATTTCTAACAGAATTTTTCTGTCTCTTAATACTCTGCTTAGCTTTTGGAATGTTTCTTTGGTCATCCCAATACGTCTTTAGATTTCAGTATTGAACTTTCTGTCCTCTCTTAGAACACTTCTCAGATATTTAAATTTCTGTACCTACTTGATTTTAATATCTCTGACCGGTAATTTGCATTTTAGACTCACCCTTTTGCTAATAAACTTGCATTCTATCTTCTTGTAGTTTATGTTTAGACCTTTTTTTCTCTCGCTTTCCTTCCCTATTGTAGGAGGTTTTTGTAGTATCATTTCCATGTCTGCTATTAGCACTGTGTCATCTGTAGATCTTATATTTTTAAGATTATGACTGCCAATAATGAATCTTCATAGGACTTTTAATTCTCTCAACATTGACTAAGTGGATATAACTTGAATAAATCCAGTGAGAAGACACATCCTTGTCTTACACCCTTTTCTATATCTGCTGAACTCATTTTCTGCTTGTATGCAAGTGTTTTTCTGCCAGTATAGATTCTTGATTATTCTAATGTCTTTCTCAAATATGTCAAGGTTGCTGAGCAGCTATCTTTGTGGTGTACTTTGTCAAACGCCTCTGCATAGTCTATAAAACATAGGAACACGTCCTTTTGCATTGCTCTTTCAGATAACATTCTGGGCATAAACATTGTGTTCCTTGTTCTGTTGTCTTTGATGAACCTGCACTGTTCTTGTCCTATCTCTGACCAGATTCTGCTGCATGCTTTATTCATCAGAATATGGATAATGAGTTTTGTTATGTGGATCATTAGGCTGATTGTCCAGTGGAGTTCACGTTCATTTGCACCTGGTTTCTTAGGCAGTGCTATGAAAATAGATCTGCATAGGTCTTCTGGTATGTCCCCACTGTTGTAGATTTCATTTATTTCTCTAATCTTGTCTATGCCAAAGTTGTCTAAGGCTGCCAGCATCTCTATTACAATTCTGTCTGGCCCTGCTGCTTTGTTTCTGGCCAGTGCAGCTTTCATTTCCGTTTTGAATATTTCCAGCCTGTCTGTATTTCTGTATATTGCTGGTTGTTCTCTTTCATCATGGAAGAGTTCTCCTATATATTTGTTCCATCTCTGAAGTACTTTCTCTTTCTCTAATATCAGTGTTCTGTCCTTGGATTTTATGCAGCCTGTTGATGAACATGTCTTTTGTCCTGTTAGTTCTCTTATTTTTTTTATATTTTTTTTTTATTGCTTGTTTTAAAAAATTTTTTTGATGAGACATCATTTCCAACTATAGTCCAAATGCAGGGCTGTGGAAGTTGGAACACAAAACTTTTGACTGACACCTCTATTTTTGGCACCTCCAACTCCTCTTTATCTAATTAAGTGATTATGGCCTACAGATCTGATAAATCCTATGCATATGCTCCTAACTTAAGTAGGCCTATATCATTATAACTGATTTATATCAAAGAATAAAGATATTGTAGATACCTATTCATTCTTCAATATTTTCTAACAGAATTAGCGACAAAATCTTTGAAAGGATATAAAAGAAATAACAATAAAAATGCTATAATGTAAAACTTTTCACATATATATCTTTGCAAACAAGAAATAAGTACAGGACAAAAATAAAACTACTTTATAACAGAAGTTGAAATATAATCTTTTACAGGATGTAAAAGACATAGCAAAAATAAAATGACTTTAAAAAAAGAAGTTGAGATGAATTTCTTTATAGTAAATAGTAAATATACAGTAGAAGAAATAACTAAAAATCAAAATTCTATAATGTAAGACTTTTCACATAAAGTGTAAATTCAACTGGGGTCAGAGTTTGTATAGTTTTACCAACTCCAACTCTAGTGACCTGTTAATTGCTTCAGACTCCGACTCCACAGCCCTGTGATGATGGGTCCCTTTTGCCAAAAGTTATGAGACTTCATCATCGAGGAAAAAGAATCATTTTACATTGAAAAAGTTTGTTTCTTAAAACCGTAATGTCAAAATAAAAGTAAATCAAAGAGAATGTAGACCAACGTCACTTTTTCAAGTTCTTAAAATTAATGTTTTAAATTTTTTCCACAAGCATGCACAGTAAGATCCAAATAAATCTGCAGTTATTTTACGACTTCTGTAGAGATAGATGGACGTTTCTTAATTCTTTCCATTTGTCACAATCAGTATTCTCTATTCCAATTAAGAAATACAACCTCTATCCCATAATAGTTGTTCCATTTAGTATATAAAATGTGTATGCAGATGTAACAGCCATTATAAGATATAGATTACATTAATAAATCAAATTATTTATTAATGAATTGTGAATGCCTCAATATGACTCCATAACTGATATTTATTGATACCATGGGCTGAGTAAAAGTGTTTTTTTTTAAATATATTAAATAACTTAAAGAAACTTTTGAACAGTCATCCATTATTAGTTCCTTATCTCACAGCCTTCAAACTATAAAATCTGTTAATAAAAATTCAGAAATTGTTGATAAAAAATTTTGAACTAGCAATGCAATGAATATGATTTAGTCCAAAAGACAAATTGACATGCTTTCTAAATTTTTTCATCATACCTAATAAAAATAAAATAAAAATCTCAAAAATTACAAAATCTTATTTTATAAAAAACTGAAATATTTTATCAATTACTGATTTTTTCTTTCATGGAAGTTTTGAAATCATTAATAAATTATTTGTTAATTAAACAGACATGTAAGGTAATATCCAAGCAAATGCAATTTCCTTTTATACTTAAAAAAAAAAAAAAAAATGTAAATATACATTACATTTTAAGGCTAAGAGGAAAGAGTTCTTTAGTATAATTAAACATACTAAGAAGACTGGATTTTCACCATTTTACTGACAGAAAAAAAAAAAAAAAAATAACAATCTTAATTACACAGAACTCATATAAGCTAAGTTAAACCTGATTTAAGGATTACTTTCCCGGTCACTGGGGACAAGCAATATAGAGAAGAAAGCAGCACATATCCTTAAAAATTGCTGGATACTTTACTTTCTTAATTCTCTCTATTAACTGCAATGTCAGATATTACACATACAATGAAACTAACCAATAGATATAAATGATTATCTTGAAAACTATTTAAATAGGTAAATTTGATAGTGTAATGACAGAGTTTTTATGACAACCAACAAAAGTGAAGAAAGAAAGAATAAAATATTTTGATACAAATATGCAGGTCAATTTAGAAAACACTTTGGTCACTGAAATAGAAATATTAAATAGAAAGAATTTTAAAAGCAATCATTTTTAAAATTATTTTACTTTTTTGTAACATTACAAGAAAATATATTTATCTATTTATAGATATATATATATATATATATATATACATAGTCATATACAATGTTAGAACATTTTTATACTTGAAGCAAAAAGAATAAATATTTCAAAATTTAAGAGTGGATATTTCTACAGAACTGCTTGTAGTAAAGAATAAATGTTCATTATTAACCCAATGAAAGGTTTTTACAATATGTTTAAACATAAACATGAAAGCTTTATATTTGCTTCAGAGATCTGATTTCCAAACTTGTGCTCCAAAAAACACATAATAGCTGCATTCAGCATTCAAAGCTGATCAAAAATACTTTTTCTTCTTTTTTTTCTTTGTAAGACTACAATGATTGTAAAACTAAATAAATATAGATAAAAATAAAACTATTCTTGATAAACATTCTATTTATCAGAAAGATTAAGAGAAACAAATGGACTTTATCTAATATTTACTCTACTTGGGTAATACAAATTTTATGACAAAACAAATGAATGAGCTAAAGTGGGCATGGGATTTAAAAAACTAGTTTATAGTTTAAATGCATTCGCTTAAACTAAGAGGCTAAAGGAATATTTTAAACAAAAGTGTTATATAACTACTTCATAATTATGTAGCTTATATAGTATGTCTTGATGACATTCAATAACAAATACAAGGAAGTGATACAGTAATTGAAAAAATATAAGCACTACAGTTTTGCTTAAGAGCATGACAATGTTTTCCAACATAGCCTAAAGTATTATTTTCTTTACTTGAGGCTTATCGTAAAATTAATAATTTTGCTTGGGAGGCAGAATTCAAATGTGGCTGTAATTCACAGCCAATAATTAATCTGATCTCCTGTGTCTAAAAAACAACATTGTTTTTTAATTTGTTTCCAGTGAACTTTTAAAAAATATCTGTTCTTAAATCAGTGTATTAAATTAAAAGTCTGTTATTCTGAATCTCAGATTTCCAGGATTATTCAGTGGGATTTCTACCTGGCAGAAATTCAAGAAAGAGAATTACAGAAGTGTAACAAATGATATTATCAACTGCTGAATTTTATTATGGAGAAGAATCAGTCATTTGTTAACCGACTTTTACGTTGTTTCATTTCTTTTTTTGCATGTATGATTATCTACTTGTTTATGTGCAAAGGTCTTGGTAGATATGCATGTAATTTTATAGTTATTTTTTAAATTAAATATATGATAATAATAAATCTTTCAGGTGAGAAAGCACTAATACAGGATAAACAGTTACAATTCCACAAAAAAAAAAAAAAAAAAAGACAGCAGAATAGTAACAGTATATATATAAAAAATATAAATTCCCTTCTTGGTAAGGAACAGTTGTGGTAAATATATTTCACAAAAGATTTCCTACCAAAGCCGAGAATTAAGTTTACTATTGATGGGAAGCAACTTTAGCATCTGGGACTTGGGCGTTAGTGCAAGAGTTCAAAAATGGTTGAGCTGGTGGGAGACGTGATGAAAATGAAGAAAAGTATCTGGCTGCAAATGAAAGCACATCGTCTGGTTTCCTTAGTAACAGGAACTGTAAAAAGTCGGCAAGCAATGATCGTACCTCAGGTTTATGTCCCAGGTATACTGAGAAGTTGTTCATGTATGTGCCCTGCAAAAATAAGTATAAGAAAATAAAAGCAGAAAATTGATATCTGCATAGTAAAAGTGTAAAATTAGTTACTGTCTGCATAAAAAAACAAGATACAAGCTTAGATATTTTAACAAAATATTAAAACTGTATAAAGAAAATCTGAATTTTAAACTTTTTCAAATTAGAAACTCATTTTCTAATTTCAGTTTTACTCTAGTCATCAATAGTTGCAACATATTAGAAATATTAGGTTGGCTAGAAAGTCCTGACCTGGAAGCAGAAACAAAACAACAAAATTTTATGGGGCAACACTTATTCTTCAAGATAAAGTCAATTATTCTTGACAATCTTCTGTAAGTGATCAGCCAGCAGCTGAATCTGTTCCAGATACCAGTCCTCTGGTTTTCAATCAAAAAACTGTAAACAAGCCTCCTTCACTTCATCAAAATTGTTCAATCGCTGGTTGCAGAGAAAGTGTACCATTGAGCGGAATAGGCCATAGTCTCTTGGAACAGCATTGGGACTGAATGGTGGAAGAATCTCAAAACATGTCCTCAGTCAACCTGGCAGTATGTGGCCTTGCATTGTCTTTCTGAAACAAAGCCTGACCTCGACTGACCAAAGCAGGATACTCCTTTAGTTTGTTCTACATGTGGTCTAGCTGCTGCCAATAGAGTTTAGCATTGATGGTGCAACTGTGTGAAACAAGCTCAAAATGCAGTACTTCTTGGAAATTCCACCAGACAGATTAAGATATGTTGTTTTCTTTCCTCTTCCTAAATGAGTCAGGGCTTTCTGGCTAACCTAGTAATTTGAAATCAATTTAGGAAGACTTTGCACCACTGACTTTATATTAAATTTTCTAATTGAGCAATGCAAAAATAATCTTGGTTACAGAAATATTCATCTTCATAGATTTTTTTTAATTACATTCTTTGTATTTTCTGAAACAGAATAAGATGGACTGCATATCATTATGAATTTTATATCCAAAGGGGAAGGAGTTTTCAGTTTTGAAAATCTAATGAACTCATCTGAGGATAATCATTTCTCTCATGATCTAAGGATTAGTGTCTGGGATATAAAGAAGATTTTATTGTCAGGCTGTTAGTTTTATATTGCTTTTATTTTCCATTTTGTATATTTTCTGACTTTAGTTGTGGGATATTCATTAAATAAGTGCATGCTATACAAAATAACTCACAAGCATAGAAACTGAAAATAAGTATATTACAATAAATACTGATATGAATTAGAAAAGGAACAAAAAACAACCTGTAAAACTACAGACTTAATTACAAAAAGTTTGTATACATTAATACACTGATTGGAATCTGCCAATGTGTGCATTTATAGCAGCCAACATTTAAAATACAATAAAAAATATTAATAGCTTTAAGTTGCCTAAATTTCTTAGATAAGACATTTCCATTAATTATCTTTCATCTTAAGAGAATAAGATGCAAGATTAAGTTGTCAAAATTAATAATTTCTGTCCTGTTTTTATTTGTAACTACATTTCAATGAAAGTGCATGAAAATAAATTTAGTTAGTTTTATGGGAAATGTAATAGTAAGTTTTATAGTTTTTTTACTAAATCATTCTAATTAGGGACAATGCAGTAAATCACTATTGCCATGGCAAGGTATTGTATCAAAATGACTAATGACCATATACTATTTTAAAAACAAAATTTGAAAAAGTTATCTGAAACTTTAATTTTTTTTTAAATCTTAAAATGAATAAATTGTCAGAATTACATTGAACAAAATATAGTGTCTGGACCAAAATCATGTTTGTTCTTTTAGTGTAAAATGTAAAAATGTAAAAAAAAAAAATTGTGTATTTAGTTCTAGTGTTAATGATTTTGATTTCATTTATATCAGGCAAAAGAAAAGCTTATGAGAGGACTGGTGTATACATACAGTTGCTTCAGAAGATTGGCTCCACTTTGGTACCTCTCACAAAACTAAATTATTGCCGAGTCAAAGGTAAACAATCAAGTTTCAAACATCATTGCCTTTCCCTTAAGCAGTAATAAGGAAAATAAAACTAATTTAGCTTTTACTGATTTCATAGCAGTTAAAAGATTTACAACAGATAAGTTATCCATTATAAAGATAAGTGTGACGTTCTCCTTCTGGGCTTTATTTTTATTTCTCAATGTGCTGCATTTTGAGAAATACGTCCCAGCCGGTAAGAGGGGAAATTACCTGGAGCGATGCGCCAATCGCTTATTTCGCACTGTCTCCTCACTGCAGATGGATCTTTCAGGGCGGGGTATGAGGCTATCCTGCTTTCCATCCACTCGAAATAAGCGATTATGGGCTTAGATATGGGAAAGAATCGGTTCTATTTTTTTTTTTTATCCTTTGTGATAGAACAAACGAAACAATTTTTTCCCTTTTTTTTTTTATTTTTATTTTTTTTTTTTTTTATTCCAACAATAACAAAGAAAAAGAAGAGACAACAAACATTTATGGAATATCAATCTTTTGTGTACCTCAGTCAGGATGCGTTCGTATTCCTAGTGTAAGGGACAAGGAAATGTCAATTAGTCACTTTTCGGCTTGTTGGCACTCTATCCCCCCTTTTCTTTTCTCTCTTTTATATTTTTTTTTTTACTAATATAAACTCTTTTGCCTGCAATGCAAGGGGTATAACTTCTTTTCCCCCGTCTTTTTCTTTTCTTCTCCCTCTATGCTTTCTTGTTTATATTTTTTTTTTTTTTTTTTTTTTTTTTTACAAAAATGATGACAAAAATAGGCGATGGCACCTTCACGTTTTTCGTTACGGCTCTGACAGTTCTCGGACATGAAGATCTTCATTCAAACTTCCTGACGGTTCTCGAATAATATCGCTTAGGTTCGCAAACCTTTCCAATAGACAGACGGATACATGTCTCGCAACCACAATCCAAGTACATTAATTTACAAAAGTGAAAAGAAAGACCAACCTCGTTGTTGTATGATTTTCTTTTTCCCCTTGCTCTTGTATTTTCTCTTTTTCTTTTTTCTTCAATTGAGATCCAAGCTTTGCCGTACTATTAACATCAATTTCCTTTCTGTTGATGTTCTGCATGCATTGTTCCTTTTTTTTTTTTGTTTGTTGCGCTTTCTTCAATTTACGTTAGAAGAATATAACGGAGTTGCACCTATCTTCTTCCAAGTACCAGGGTTTTTGTGTGGGCGATCTTCACTCCGGCAGATCCCGACAGCAACTGAATTTCTTTCTCCACTTGTGACCTTTGGCCGCTTACTGGCGCGAAAATTCCCTTTGTCTCTATGTCTTGGAACTTGGGTTGTCACCTTTGGTGAACTATCCAATTTCGGTGCCGAAATTTCCCTCCGTCTTATTTTTAGCTTGCCCGTGCCGCTGTTTCTGGGCACCTTCATCATCATCATTGTCTCTCCTATGGTCAGCTATAATTTCAATTTCTTTTACTGACGACCTAAAATCGTCACATAAGTAATATATCTTTTTTGGTCATTGATGTAAAAAGTTACATACCTTTTTGTCAGTGAATTTACTCTTCAGCTCCATATCCTTTTCCCACTCAAGAGGCCGTTTTTTGAACATAGTTTCTGAGATATCATCTTTCTTATCTCCTTTATCTAAAGAAAATACAATTTTTAAAACTATATGCAATAAGCACATTAAAAATGTAATCATGTAATTTGTCCAATTTAAGATAATGTAAGAAATTATATTGAGGACAAACAGTATATGAGCTAATATTGTTAAATGTGTAGGTTACATGAAAACTTCCTCAAGGAGTATTGAATACAAAAGTAGGTGTGTTTATTGAGGTGATTATATTCCTAAATAATTTTAAAATTCTGTTTTGTTAGACAGGTGTTCATTTTGAGAAAATTCTTATGAATATCTTAATATTATTGTTATTTTGTTTTATGCTTTATATTCCATTTTTTAATATTTCCCTGATAACTTTAAATGAAAAGGAAGAGATAGGCACCTGAGTATTTCAATGGGATTTGGGCCACCTTCATAATCACTGGAGATCCAACCTGTTGACGAACTAATAAAAATCTGCAAAAATAAATTAAGATTATTTTATTTTCAAATGAAGAATGTAATATACATTTGTCTAAATTATGTTGTTTGCAAGTGTAAATTCAGAGCAATTATAAATTGAATATATTGAGTAAAATTTAAAGCAATTTTTTCTTAGCTGTACATTTTTAATATTTAGTGCCTTAAATTTTACTCATCTTGCTAGAAGCAAGAAGAAACCTTTTTCAGGATATTTTTTCTTGAGTTGATTGTTTTCATCATGATTTTTTTTTTTACACTAGCAAATATTTTTTATGCAAAAATTTTTCCTAACTTTCCTTGGGATTTTCTTGGATATTTGTATTTGTGTGGATATTTTGCTTGATTCTTCTTTTGATGTTTGTAAATATTTATCTTCATGTGGCCCATTCTCTTGATTTTTTTTTTAATGTTTTGAAATATCTTGCACATAAAATGAGAAGAAAGAAAAATAAAATCTGAGAACAGTGCTTTTAACCCTGATTGGACAAATAAATATTGTTTTCATTCTTTCTAGTAACAAAATAGTCTACCTTGTGTGCCGTGAAATAGTATCTATTCCTAAAGTATGTAATGTGAGGTAGCATTCTGAAACCACACCATTTATGCAAAACTGAATTTACATGAAAATATTAAAGAGCCAGTTTGATGAAAACTCTTAACAAAGAACTTTACAAAAAGCCAATGCAGAAAATGGTAACTAGAATAAGTTTTGAAATTTCTAAGGAATTTGCTGCCACCAGGAAATCATTCACAGAGAAAGACATCATTAAGAAATGTATGCTAATTGCTGTGTCAAGATTATGTCCAAAGAAAAAGCGGATGTTCCAGAATGACAGTTTTTCATGCAAGACAATTCAGAAGAGTAGCTGACTTTGCTGCAAACTTAACAGAGTAATTAAAGCTGAGGGTGAGAGAACTTTGCTTTTATTCACTAGCAATGGATGAAAGCATAGACTGCTAAAATACAGCTCAGTTTCTTTTTATTCAAAGAGTAGATAAAAAAAAATTAATATGTGTGAAGAACTTGATGACATGCAGTCTTTGACTGCTTGCACCACTGGATAGAATATTTTTAATGAAATAAGAAAATGTGTTAGCATAAAATTAGAAAGTAATCTCACAAATCTGTTCGCACTGCCATGTCTGGGAAAATATTGAAACTTTTTCCCTTCTACAAGAAGGTCTTGGAAGATGAATATTCACTCATCACTGCATCAAATATAAGCAGGTTTTGTGTGGAAAAGTTATAAAATTCAATGATCATATTATGTCTGTTGTAGTTTTCACAGTAAACTAGTTTCATTCTAGTGAGCTTAAACATAGATTATTCAAAGCTTTTCTTGAAGAGGTAGCAGCTGAATACAGTGACTTGGTATACCTTATAGAAGTAAGATGGAAGAGTGATTCAACATTTTGTAGCTTTAAAAGAGGAAATATCTTGGTTTCTAGAAAATGAACCAAGAAAGTTTGAAAATGAATCCTGGAATTAAGATTTCTTCATCATTTGTGATATTACAAATGGAATTGAAACTTTTTTTTAAGAAGTCAGTTGGTGAAAAGTAAAATGTATCATTTTCCAATATGTGCACAGCATATTCCCAAAAGCAATGTTGAGTTGAAAGCAAGATATGGCAAACAAATTACAATCTTCTGTCAGAATTTCACAGAAGAATTAGTTTTTTAAAAGACATGTAAATTGAAACTGGTAGAGGATCCATTTTCTATTGATCCATAAGAACTGCTCATGGAATTCAAACTAAACTTCAAGCTTCTCCTATTTACAAAACAATGCATAGAGAAAGTAGCCTGAAAGACTTTTTACAAAAGTCTGGACAATATGAAATATCAGAATATCATCTAACTTGCAATGAAAATGTTTAGCATTTTTGGAAGCATCTACATTTGTGAACAGACCTTCTCTGTTATGAACATAATAGCAAGGCACATTCTTCTTTGTTTGATGAACATTTAGAAGCCATTTTGAAAATATCTTGTACCAATATGTCTGTAACAGTGGTTTTACTGCATGAGAATGCCTAATGACAATATGAAGTAGGAAATAATTAAAATTAAACTGTGAGAAAACTCAGAAAACCTAATTAGATGTCAAGAAGAAAAAGGAAAGAAAGAACCCATTTAGAATAATAATTAGAAGCCATAAAATGAGTGTGGAGAAAGCTCTGGGAAGATTTGAACATAAAATAAACCAAGTAGATTTCATTAAGATTTTGTAAGGCTTGGTTTCCCTCAAACTCCTTGGTCCTACCCTCCTTTTACTGTATATTAATGTTAGACAGATAATTAATACTCTACTCTTTAATGAGTATCTATGCAGATGATGCAATAGTAAACTAGCAGCTCATCTCTCCTCTGACCTAGCACAAGTGGCACAATGGAAGAAGGATTGGCTTGTAAAATTCAATAAGACCAAATCCAAACTTATAATGTTCAACCATCACCAAGCAGACTGAACTTTCACCTATCATGATGGATGGATCTCCTCTTAAGGAGGCTCCTTGCTTTGAATGTCTATTGCGACTCAAGCACTCCAAAGACCTCAAGTGGAACTCATATATACGTTCTATTGCTAAAGATGCTTGAAAAATGGTTGGTTCATTGTGCGACTCCAGTAAGTATCTGACTCCCTCTACAATACACTATCTTTATAAGAGCCAGATCAGACTTACTTACTTCTTTTTTTTCAGTTTTTCAGTCTTCAATCAATTTCTTGTAGACCAGAGAATAACCACCTATACTATATTTAAATATCTATCATCAGCTCCTGAAAACACACTTTCCTCTAATGTTATCTTTTGGCTGTTTGTCATCTATATCTTGACTTTCAAAGAACAGACACTATATATATTTTTTTTTATTCATTTCATTACAAGCAAGGCAACAAAGGCACTAACACAGAGGGGGTTACTAAGTGTGAAAGAATATAAGAAAAACATAAAGGTGTGAAAACAATAAAAGAACAAAAAGACAGAAGATAACAACTGACATTGCATTTAAAGTTTTGAAGATCAAAGTTGACAGGGATGCAAAAAGCTGAGAGTTCCACAAGCAAGAGGTGCAAGAAAAGAAACTGTTAGCAAAGAACTTATGGTTAAATGTAGCTAATTCAACTGTAAACTAATGAGAACTTGTTGCCAATCTAGTACTGCACTTAAATTTATAAAGTCTTGGTACTGTAGAGGAAAATTCATCAGAACAATTACCATGAAAATATTTATAGAAAAGTTGCAGGGAAGCTACATTACATTTTGGCAATGGAAAAATGACAGAAAGTGAGATGCCTGATCAGGACCAATGACATTGCAAATTCTTCTTTGGATTTTATCAAGAATCTCTAAATATATAGCAGGGACACCAGAGCAGCTGTGGCAGCAATATTCTAAGCACGGATGAGTAGTAGATTTGTAAATATGTAATATAGATTCAAGTGAGAAAAATTGTCTAGCATGACACAAAGAACCAATTTTCCTAGTAGAAGACCTAGCAACGGTAGTCCAAGAAGGACTGAGTTACTCTCCTGAAGGTTAGCATTAGCCATGCTGAGTGAAGGCGGAAAGGGTTTTCTCAGATGATTAATAGGGAGCAGTTTCATTTTGGAGTCAATAAAACTAACAAGCCATTCCTTGCCCCAGTTAACAACAGAAAGGTCCTTCTTTATATTAGCTGCCAATTTGACCATATCAAACTGATTAGCCTTACTATTAAAACAAATATAAACTAAAAATGGAGTATTTCTGCTATATCTGGGCTGGAGTGTCTACACTGTCTTGTGGGTAATGAATTGTTTTCCCCGCTACAACCACTTTCCCCACAAACAAAATGTCTCAAGCCTCTTGCTAATCTATCACTATTTCCATGGCATGTGTTTTGATGAGATACATTCCCTAGTCTCATCAGCCCTGACTTTTACAACTGGCACCCACCATACAGTGTACACAAGAGGGAATCCCCATTCTTTTCATATTCCATTAGTAAGTAGTAAGTTCCACTCACCGTCTTTCTAAGAATTGTTGCTTTGTGGAACATACTCCCAGCCAAGTTTGTTTAAAATACTATCAAATACATTATAGCTTACCAAGTTCAAGTTAGGGGCATCTGGTGTTCAAGCAAAGAAGGGTCATAATATCTTATTGAAAAACATGCAATAAAAGTTTGTGAAATTCTTATATAAACCAGCCAATACACAGATGGAGAAAGAGAGAAACCAGAAGACAAGATAAGCTGACCAATTTTAATCTTCCTCCACCAGTTGTTGCTCTGAGGTTTCTCCATTTACTGCGGATTACTGCTAGAATAATTTTTCTGTTGAAAGACAATCATCTAGGCTACATAGAAAGATTCAATTCTCTACTCCTAACAGGCTTTTAAATTCTTCAATCTGCTATTATTAAACCCACCGTTAAATGTCAACATAGTTCTCAACCAAAGAAATTACCACAGCTGTGAGGATTTCCCACATGAATAGAATCTTGTTACTTCCCAATTTGCTAATGTCAACATGCAATAGCCATAAAGTCAAAAAATATCGCTAAGTGATGACACCGAAAATGCGAAATTTTAGAGAGTGCTGGAATAGGGAATGACAGACCGAGAAAACAAAATGAAAATGAGCAACCATCCAACCAGTGGGGGGATTATACGTCTCTGGAACATAAGATTGTAGCTGAGAAGAAATGCTACATTTCTCATTAAAATCAAAAGTGACTAAAATTTATTTTATCTGTATATTTAGTTGTCTTGCTAAAAGGAAGACAACATTTTTGTGCTATTTTAACTCTGAATATTTTTGGCTACATCCATGTATCTCTAATTGGAGTTGTCAAAAAAGCTAACGCACATCAATGGTGGTAACTCCTGTCAAAAACAAAGGTTATATACCATTTTAATACTGAATCTGTGATTCTATTGAACTTTTGTACTGTACTACTTCTAAATATTCACACACTGGCCCACTCAAAAAGTCAGAGTAATAATTAAGCAGGCACTGACTTGTTTTTCAGCTTTGTTAAGAAAGGTTAGGGATTACTTTTTGATACTTTTCCTCACACTTTTCTTACCATGGATTATAAGAAAAATATTATCTCAACAGAGAAATGATATTTTAAAGTTAGCAAGTGATGAAAACATAAATTCTGGAAATTGCAAAAAAAAAAAATAAAATAAAATAAAAGAATAAAAAACTAGAAATCACAAAACAATAAAAAAATTAAAACATTAGCAAGAACAAAAACTCTTTAAAAATCTTATGCAAAAAGAGATTTGAAAAACTAAAAGGGTAATAAACCAGAAAAGTACAATGACTAAGAAGAAAATATTTAATGAATATCTTACCCCTCTGCTGTTAAAAAGTAGCGCCAGGATATTGAATTATCTTTTGAATAAATCGATCGCTGAAGTCCAATCACAGGAACAAATTCATTGCAAATTTCTTTAACTGATGCTCCGAGATCACTCTGTAAAGATTTTTGAGAAATAGAATTTTTACTTTATAGTAGCCAATGACTCCTTAATAAAGAAAATGAAGTAGGAATAATTTTACCTATTCTTGATTGGTATATAAAAAAAAAACAATATCAATAAAATATTGCCATAACAATGATTTTATAAAAAGAATAAAACTAGATGATATCAAGTACATTAAAATGACATAAAATTGAAAAAATATATAGCATTACATAACATACAAAATCTAAAAATATAGCAATTAGACTTAAATTAGGTAAGAAAATTGATCAGTTAGCAAAAATAGAGCCTTTCATCTAACTAAAAGACAATAAACATAATTTTATAACTAAACCTACATACAGACTAATACATTCCACAAAAATAACTTGGGCAACATAAGTGAATATATATAAAAAATGTTTAAAAGTAAGTATAAAACCAGTAATAAAATACAAAAGTAACAATTGGTTTAAAAATATAAATAAGAAAACCTGTATATTTATACAATATAAAAGATTTCTATCTCTCCATCAATGAGATCACATTAAATAAAGCATTACACTTAACTAAACAGCTTATAAATATTTCTGAAGATGGAATAAAGATACAAAACGTAGAAAATCAATATTGTTCCACAATAAATGCATATGAATATCACCAAATCACCAAAATGAAAGCTTTGATATAACCATGGGTAGTTATGATGGAGTATTTGAATTTATTATCCTTTAAATTTAAACTAACTACAATAATTGATAAAAATGATAAAAGGTAATAAACTATTAATACTACAAAATTGTCCAAGAAGACTAATAGAAAAACAGAAAAGAAATAATAAAAATTAAAAACAACCAATATAAAAGCTAACCTAAAATAAACTTATAATTTAATTTTAAATATAGTAAATAAACAACACAGAAAATGAAAGAGCTACATTAATAATTAGTCCAACCACTGTGCTGTTTCCAAACCTAAATCCATAAGCAAGACACTTTCAACAAATTCTTGCAACATTAGAATATTTAGCAAAAATAAAAAAAATAATATAAACTAGCTCTAAGAAACAGCATGCATACTAATAAATTAGAATAAAAAAAAGATAACAATACAAGCAAAATCAGTGGAAGGTGAAATATCATTTGATTAAACCAAACTTATAAAAATGAAATAAAACAAAAAATCAATAAATATTCTTCATATTAATAAACATAAATATAGTAAGTTATCCAAAATTATTAATAGAAGTAATATTAAAATTATTTGCAAGGAAAACATGAAAAATATAATAAAGGAACAACAATATACTTAAACTTAAAATAATAGTATCAATAGTAATAAAAGTAACAATACCCTTTTATGCAATTGTTGAAATGAAAAGACTGCCCACTGGAAAACAAATGCTTAACTGGTAATATATATATTGTTCACAATGATATTAATCCTGTACAAGGCCCAAGAGCCACTCGAGGCAGAGGACAAGTTGGAGTAAGAGGCACAGTGTGGAAGATAACAGTTAACCCTAGACTTGAACAGGTTAACACTGTAGTGATTGGGAAAGCATCTTCCAGAGAGTTGGTTCCAAAAAGTAGCAGTTTATAGGAAGAATCTGCTTGAATGGAACTTACATTTCACCAATGGAATATAAAGAGAATGAGGCTGGTTTGCTATAATGTGTATAGTATGGCAGGTCTTAGTCACAAAGGTTAAAACTGGTAGAACTAAGGAATGTAGTTCATCTGAACACTTTCCATGGAAATAGTGAAAGAGCAGCAAGAAAACTGTGCATACACTTGACATATTTCACAGACTTGAGTATGATTTCTCCTTCAAGCAGCAGTTAAATAATTTCATTAAGATCAGGGACAACTTCAGGTTAATATCCTTAAGGACAACCACTAGGATTTTGTTTGGACTAGTAGCCTTCTTAGGATCAAGACTTTTGATAAGTTTTGCAAAGATTGAGATTGGATGCACTGATGCTTTGCCTTTATTCATAGTTTGGTTAGAGATCTTCCAGAACTTTCAGGATCCAATTTGTTTGCTTTCAAACTTTGGCCTTGTTTGCTTGTGCATATCTACACTTTGCATTTTCTAAAACTCTCTTGCAGTGATTGAGGGCAGTTCTGAATGCAGCAAATGTCCTACTACACTGTTCCCTAATGATAGATATTGTAGTAGTGGTTATAGTGAGCTATGGCTGCAACACATTCAGGGATGAACCAGGTGCTAGCTGTTCAGTTTTGTTTGGATTTTTTCTGGGGTATAAAACTCTCAATTCCAGTAAAGATCCATTCTGAGACAAGGGCAGCAGTTTTGGAGGCAGTATCTTTGAATTAGTCTGAGAGAGGAGCTTCCAATATGTAAGATCTGATGCTATCTCTGTCTGTTTTCATGTACCAAAAAATAGTTCATATCTGGAGTTGTTTTTGATTTGACATCAACTTTGACACTAACTAGTGAATTGTGTGAAGTGCCTGGGTTGGCAGGGGCAGGGAGATAAAACTTCAGTAAAGCATTTTTCAGGTCAGGATGTGAGGAAAGTCAAGGAGGTTTGCTTTATGTTCTGTCACATCAGGAAAAGCTATAATAAAAATAATACTAATACATAAAATAATTATATAGTAGCAACAGAAAAAATCTCAAAAATATAACCATAAAATGTCTTTTAAAAAATGCATATGCCAATAGCACTACTCTTTCAAAATATAAGTGGCAAATAATAAAATGAGCATCACCATGCAAGACTAATATTAAAAAAGCAGACTATACTTAGAAAAAAATTACAAATAGTTTAAAAAATCAAAATAAATTAGTAAGCAAAAAGAACTACCTAGCAAATTTAGACATAAATAAATGCCTCCTTTATTACATAAAACTATATTAAAATAAATAAAATTAAAAAATTAAATTAAAAATATTTAAAAAAAAAGAATTTATAAGAATAAAAAAATTATAAATCACAATTAATCCATATATTTAATTTAAATGATCTATTTAAATTAAATATATGGATGAATTGTGATTTATATTTATAATCCCCCATCTACAATATATAAACTGTAATTGTACTTAAATCAACATTGATTTTATGTTTTGCAATTTTATTAATTAGCATTAAATGTAACTGAACATTATCAACAATATTTATTTGAAAAAAACTACTTATAAAATCAATACCCGGGTTATAAATAATTTGAGCCCTTCACTAAATTAACTATTTGCACAGGTTCATGAATAACCCCTGAAGAATGTTTAGACAATTGGATTGGATACTGTGAATTAATATTTTATTTTACATGATAAAGAGAACTGCATTGAAAATACTTTTAAACTCCTCCAATATCTTAATTACTTTATATATAATGCTCATTCCAAAGCTCATTGTATTCATAAAACTAAGAAAATAAATAATCTTGATAAAATTAAGCAGATAATATCAATAACCAACTCTAATGACCATGATCATAAAGAAATTATCTAAACTTAAAATAGAATTTGTTAAAACTACTTTGAAAATAATAAGAGATTTAATTAATACAAAAGTATATCAACCTAAAACAGGAATTTATACTATAGACTGTAATAAAAGTCATAAGAAATCCATAGGTGAAAAATCTAGGAATTTAAATAAAAAGTATATTAACAAAAAGGAGTTTTTTTATAAAACAACACACTCAATGCAGGTCAATCATTGTAATAAGTCTGACTATAATTTTGACTTAATACAGTTTTAATTAAAAAGAGAAAGTAATTTATTAAGATGAAACTGTATAGAAAGTGCACTAATTTTTGAGTCTTTCACAGTAAATTTACATCCAGGATTGTAAAAGATATTGCCTTTCTTAAAGCTACCACCATTACAAATTGAGATATTTAAAAACAGTAATAAAACAGAAATAGTAGGAAGCTGAATGCGGCTGGCTAAGATATGTATATAGATATATTGGATACCACAAATTTCAAATTTAAAGTTAAGCATCCTTGCATTTTCAGCATCTACATATGTTCTCATTGATAAAAAAACATTAGTCTGAAGAAGTCTTTTTGAAGGATGGAAAGTGTCACATAAGATTTTTCTCATTTTGTCATTCGATTACCCACTATTAGTCTGATATATAGAGGTTATATATAGTCTCCCATATAGTGAATGTTAAAATTTAATTCAATAATAAAGCACACATGCAAAAAATAAAATCACTATTCCATAACTTATATAATTCATGATAAATTATATCTGAATAAATTCAAATTTTATCTAACACATTAATTTTATATCATTAAAAAAATTAATTTTTACAATTTATGTCATAAAAAATAACTTTTTTTTATAGAGAAAAGAAAAATACAATCTGTAAATAAACATTGTTTACAAAAAATCTGCCAGATTGGATAAAAAAAATCCACAAAACTCCAAGTACAGATTCATGTAAGTGAATATATGTGTGTGTGTGTGTGTGTATGTAATCTTTAATCACTAAAAAGAAAGAAGTCAAACTAGATACACTTTATAAAGAAAAATAGAAAACAAATACAGCATTAAAGAACAAGAATATCTAACTTCAAAACAAAACTGATAATGACCAAAAAATGGAATTGTCAAAATGAACATGAATCTGTATCAAGTTAGATCTTCCAAACTACTTACATAATCACTATTACAGAGATTTCCATCTGAATCAATAGAAGCCACTACAAAGCTCGCTGGGATGTGTTTGCGATAAATCAATGCTCTTACAAGTAAGATGTTTGCTCCTGAAAAATAAATTGCAATCCATGCCTCAGTATGTATTGAATAATATCAGATAAAAACTTGATTTATAAGATACTGATTGCAAAAAAATTGTAATAGAAAGGTTTTAGATGAAATACAGGATTGAGACTAGAGGGTCTCATAAATTTGTGGCCAATAGAATTAAGCAAATTAAACTAAATTAAATTGTACTTGAAAATTTCCCTACAAGCATATACACTAGGGTTTTGTGGTAACCCTACACACACACACACACACACACACACTAACCAAAACCAATTTCTTTTACTGAAGTTCTTTTAGATACACTGTTTTATTACCACTGAGCTATGGTTCAATTTATGTCAAGCTATAATTGACCTAGCTCTTAGAGGTACTTCAAAATGTGGTTTGTCATAAATGGCTACTTAAATTTGTGTTTTGTGGCAATTTTTATAGCACACAATTTTCATACAGTGATTTTCTAGTCAACTCAAAGTGCTTTAAAATATGAAGATGGCTAAGGAAACAAAAGATAAATACCTTCAAGAATAAGAGTAGGAACATCACTTATCAGCCATGCTTTTCGAAAACGAGATACCTCCTAAAATATAATGACATACAATAAATAATCTAAAATCTACAATAATCCAACAATGAAAATAATGAAGGAAATAAAAGTGATAATACTTATTTTCATTACATTGAAATTTTAAATTTACTTTTTTTTTAATAATTATTTATCACATAACAAAATAAACTGATCTCTCATTTTTTATGTAAATACCGTATCAATATTGTAAACAACTTTGTGTCAGACTAAGCAAAGATTAGTAAATGACTATATTATCAATACTAAGAGTTAAATAATAAACTAATTAAAAGTGAATGTCCATTAATATTTTTAAGATCCTATGTGGATTCAGTTAATAAAAGTTGTTTTAATAATTTTACTATTTTGCTTAATATCTAGTATTGTGCAATAATCTTGCAATAGATGTGTGAAAATGTATTTAAAAAATTAGCTAATAAATTTTGTTCTTTACTTACATTTCCATTAGTTAATATCTTTGTGTATATGTATCTGTCATTTTTCAAGACAAATAATGTCTTCCGGTCCAAAGGAATAGGAGACACCTAAAAAAATGTTTCCAATATGAATAAGTTTTAAATGCAATGACATTGTTTTTTCACATGAATTTCTTTTATTTAAATTAGATTGCCTCAAATATGTAACATTTTATAACAGTTTAAATGTTTAGTAGTTTAGATACAAGTATGTATAATTAACTAAAAAAATTACCTTGAATTTGTTCCCTATAAAAAAGAAATAAAAGAAAAAGAAATAAAAAATTAAGTGGATCTATATATTTTTACCTTGACAAATTCATGATGTCTCTGTTCAATCGTTTGGAGCTGTAAATTCACATAGGCAGTAAATGATGTCCCACATAATACTCCTTCCACATAACCTAAACTTTTGGCAATTATGAGGTAACATTCTTGTTGCTGAAATATTGAATGTTCAATGGAGATCACAAACTCTCCCAAATCACCATTTTCTGAAGTGGTTACCAACCGTTCACTGAAAACCAGTGGGTCGAGATGGTCTGCCTCTAAAAGAAAATACCAGAAAATAAACCAGACTTATTTGTTATTATTATCAACAAATATATACACTCAGAGAAACAAGGAACATAGATATGTGGTATATTTGTCCAACCGCTTTTGGTAAACCAAACTGGTGTTGTCATATACTCCCTTAATATGGGCTGCAAGTTCAAATCTTACCAGTGGTTTCTTCTTTATTTTAGATTCATGCTTTTTATGTAACAGTTAGAGAATAATAATCTTAGAATTGTAATAAAAAATGTAACAAAAATAAGATAAAATACTAGTTTTTAACAATAGTAATAATGACTTTATTACACAACCATTCAGTATCCAATAAATGGCTGAAAGCTATAAGAGTATCAACAGTATCCAGATCCTGTTAATGATAAAAAAAAAAAAATTACGTTACTATATAAAAAAAAAAAAAAAAAAAAAAGAAGCAACATTTAGTTTTATTAGAGTTCCAGTAATTAATGTCTTTACATAATTTATTTTACCACAAAACCACTTATTTAAAACTTTCTGGGTGCTTATTCATATTTTTAAATTTTCCAAAGAGCTTGAAAAATTTATAATACCTTACATATTACAATTGAAGCTTTCTTATATATACAAAAACTCAAAAAAAAAAAAAAAAAAAAAAAATCAATTAAGCCATAGTTATTAGTTTTTATTCTTTAATTAAAACCAAGCTACAGCTTCATTTTGCAATAAATCTTCAAGAAGAACATCAACTAATACATACCAAGAGAGTTGAGGAAGGTGATGGCTTCTTTACTGGGCAGAGAAATATCTATTGTTTCAAAAGTTACAGCATCAGATGATTGTAGCTGTTCTGCAGGAAATAATTCATCTTTTAAATTCAAATTGATTAAAGGAGTTTTTTTAGCTTCATTTGTCACAGAATCTTTGTCACTTGCTTCCTTTCCACTCTGTCGTTTAGATAATTTGTTTGAAAGGCTTGTTATTTCTGAATTAGAAGGATTTTTGTGGTAACTCATTCTTTCACTCTCACTTTTAAGTTCTGTAATATAAAAATTACCACTTTATCACTTGAATGTACACAAAACAACCAAATTATTTAAAACCTATCAAAAATTGATTACAGTAATCAACACAGAATCATTTATATCAATATATTATCACTAACATATCTTAAATTCCAACTTAAAATGCAAAACTGGTTGTAAGGCATGAGAAGATAAAATTATTTTTTTAATTACTGACAATTATACATAAATGTCAATATTTAAAGTTATTTTAGAATATTTTGGTGAAATTTCCAACTTGATAAACAAATGACTAAAATTAATTTAAATAGAAATGAGAATTTCTCTTTGTGGTCTTGGAACAATGGAAAAATCCAGAGGGAAATTCTAAAAATCCAAAATCAAGTTTTCTATGAATTCTTTTCAGTCTTCCATCATTTTCTTGCATAACAAAGAATAACCACCTACACTATATTTAAATATCTCTCACCAGCTCCTGAAAACACACTTTCTTTTAATGTTATCTTTTCACTGCTTAAGTCATCCATATCTTGACTTTCAGAGAACACACACTATATTAGTATTTCACTAAGGCAATAAAGCCACTAAGACACAATGGGTTACCGAGTGTGAGAGAATATGAGAGAATTAACAATGAAAGAAGAAGAATTGAAAAACAGAACATAAGGATTGACATTGCATTTAAATTTTTGAAAATCAAAGTTGACTGGAACACAATAAGCTGGAAGAGAGTTCCACAAGTGAGAAGTGCAAGAGAAGAAAATGTTATAAAGAGTGAGTGTAAAGTGAAAAACAAACTAAAAGGACAAATGATTATGACACCTTACAAGTATGCCGATGGGTGGATGTGTATAAATGCACAGACAGATGTATGGCTGCTCAGACACACAAATACAAAAAATGCGGAAAAAACTTCCATGAATGCTAAGTATATAAAAAGAAAAATTTGAAAAATGTAAGCAGTAAATTGCTGATACATCCTGAAGAGTGGATGGACAGATCTCTGGAAGTGGGATGATGAAGGTAACATCAATCAGCGAAGTGACCAACTTAATCTTATATATATGCATGTTTCATTAAAAATGACAGACAAGGTACTACGATTAAGCTTTTTATTTAATTTTTCTTGTGTTTGAACAAGATCTTTCTTTTCTGGACAAAGGGTGTGTAAAAACTGTCCAAATGTTTTATATTTCCAAGTGCTTTCGGCTATACCGTTAGCCATTATCAAGAATGATTTGATTTTTCAGCTCAATTGAGTGTGTGTGCGTGCGTTATGTGTATGTCTTAGTGTGTGGTAGGGATGTTTTTAATTTCCGAATGCGGTTAGGACATTGTGGCTTTGTTCGTAGTTAATATTGTTAAGATTATATATATATATATATATATATATATATATATATATATATATATACCATGTGAATTTAGCTTAAATTTTTTTTTTTTAAAGAAATTAAAAAGAACTGAGATTTTATCATATAAATTGATAATTGCTCATTATATTGATATTTATTTTGAAATTTCTGATATATAATGATTGCTAGGAATCGTATTTTTTGAGGAAGTTCTCAATATGTAGTCAAGGGTGATAACAAAAGAGAAAAGGTGCAAGGGTTTCATTCTGAAGGGATCTTGCTTTGATATTGAAGAAGTTAGTGTCTCCCTTGAAAAATATCATATAGGTTTTACTTTATTTTCAAGACTCAAGTCAAGATCCTTCAAAAAAGTTGACAGATATTGACTATGCAGATGACCTAGATATCACTGCAAACACCATTACCAATGCCAAAGTACTCTTACATCATCTAGAAAATGCTTCCAATGATGTTATCAATATTTCTAAAACTGAATTCATAAGCTTCAACCATCAAGGCTCAATACAAACTGCCTCAGGCAAATCAATAAAATCTGATGAAGCTTTTACATAGCTAGGAAGTGAGACAAATTCTACTGAAAAGGATGTGAAAATTCACATAGCTAAAGCCTTGGCTGTTTTGAATAAAATGGATGTAATCTAGAAATCTGCTCTACCAGACAACCTCAAGCAGAGATTCTTTTGAGTCACTGTAGAGGTGGTGTTATGTGTGGTGCCACTGCCTGGACATTTACAGTCTAAGCTTAATAGAACCTACACTTGGATGCTGAGAGATATACTTATCTCCTGAAGACAACATCCAACTAAATCACAGTTCTATGGACCCACCCCTGATATTTCTACAATTGTACACAAACGCAGAATGTGCTGGTGAGCAAAAAAAGAACTTGTGAGTCATCTACTGTTCTGGACAACTAAACATGGAGCAAGACAAATTGGTCACCCAGCAACTACTTACATTGACCAGCTATGTTATGACACATAATGCCTCCCTAATGACCTTTTGGCCTTGATGAAGCAAGTTAGCTCAGACATTCAAGAATCTATCACACCAACCATCACAGGTTGGTGTGATAGATTCATGAATGTCTGAGCTAACTTGACTGAATAAAAATAATAGGAATCATAAAGATATAATCTCAAAAAAGAAACAAGATATTTTAAAATTATTGAGTGATGGGAACTTAACATTGGAAATTGCAAAAAAAATTTGAAAAGAGATAGAACAATATAAAAAGAAATTTAAATCATTGACAAGATGACTTTTCAAATAGAGAGATAAGATGTAGAATATTAAGAACATTGGCTAATGACATGAAAGCAACTAAATTACCACTTTAAGTAAATTACATAAAGAGAAACATCTAATTTGTGCAAAGAAACACCAGTAAATGTTAGTGATGAATATAGAGCTACATTGGATGGACCTGATAACTGGGTTTGAGCTTGAGCCCTTCATAGAAATAGTCAATCAACATAACGACACTGGAGAGGTGGAATAATGCTTTGGGCTAATATTGTAGTCATTAAAATTATAGGTCTCTTTGAAGTTGATGATGTTATCAAAATAAATATAATTATTGTAAATTCTTGGACAAGAGGTTTTTATGAATTGTGCAGGTCACAATCAAACAAGAAGCTTTAAGCTAAAAGAAAAGAGTATATTCATGCAAGTAAAATAAATGCTCATTTGCATTCTGCAAAATTGACAAGTGACCACCTTGCTAAAAAAAATGTTTCAAAGACAAACACAAAATTAATGGATTGCTCCCAGCTTCTTCAGAAAGATTAAATCCAATAGAAAACTTGTGGTCCATCATTAAAAAAAAAAAAAATTATGAAAAAACAACATTCACTTTGGTTGCATAATAAAACTTTATATTTCTCCAAAACAAGCTGTTGTCAGTATTTTTTATTAAGAGTAGAAATTGTATCACTCATTATAAATTTTTACTGAAAGTTTTACCAATCTTAGCTGGTTAATAATAACTTAAATGCCATTTTACTGTGCAAACATTAACTCGAATAATTCAGTCTTCTGATGGTAAAAATGCAAGACAGTTTTATTTTTCCCTAGGGTGACCCCAAAAAAGTCTTGTCACCCCTACATAATATAATTTTTCAAATGGCTGACACGAGCTCCTACACGAAAATGATGGTGTTCATACAGACCTCGATGTATGACGGGATCAATGAAAGTGAATAAAAAACTGAATCCAGTACATGTGCTTTGTATTGTCCTTCTATTGTTTTCATTACTTTGGAGGGGGGGATGACAAGACTTTCGGATCACCCTGTACATCAAAACGTGTAACTCACCGCATCAAAAATACAATACCTTCTTCAAAACAAAGACTGCATTGTAAAATTCGTACATTACAATGATCTTATCATAATTGTTACTTTCCATAAAACATTGTTATAAAAATATAATTGTACTAATTTATAACTGTCAAGAAGAAAAATTGGAAAATTCTTTAAAAACGTCGGTCGCAATTAATACAAAAACATGAAGTTGATGAGAAATCCAACCTAGGCACTTACAAGTTTTTGTGAAGTGCCTAAGCAGGTGGGATTTAAATCAATAGCGGGCGAAATAATTGCTGCAAAAAACTGACGAAGGAAGAAAATGCCTTAAATAAATGACATTGTAATGAATGTAAAATTCGGTTTTGCTTTTTTAATATTCGTCGTTTGGTGATTTTAATGCACTATGTCTACTTAATGAGATAGAGCTTTTATTCAACACAAAAGTGTTTGTTTACAAAATGAAATCTGATGGAGCTCAGTGATAAAGAAACAGGTATTCATATAATTCTCTGCTTTTATTTTCAAGAAACATCTAAGACTTCTCACAAATGAAAGTGTAAAAATCCAATGCTACAAAATAAATTACGAATAGTTGCTTTCAGAAAGAATCCAAGAAAAAAAAAACAACAGAAGATCAATAAAAAAGAAAGAAGTTTTAACGTTAAAGATTTTGTTTCTGTCATTAAGTTACGCATAAAAAGCGATCATTAAGTCAATCTAAGCAAATACACACAGAATAACATTTCTTTTCTTACGCTAACATCTTCATTGTAAAGAAGAGGGAGATTCCAAGCAAAAATCTAAAAAGCGAAAAAACCTGATGCTGGAAATATTATTTTTTATTTAAAGCTTTAATAAAGTAAGAGAATAAATAAAAAAAAAAAAAAAGAAAAGAAAGTAATTTGAATATAGTTTCACAATGACAATTTGTTAAAGAAAAGAGATACACACTTGAAGAATTCTAAAGAAATAAATATTTAATTTAAGAAGCTATCTATAACAAACGATACTGGATTTTATTTTTAGTTTTTTTTTTTTTTACACAAATTGGAATACATTGCATATTCTGATAAGTTCTTTAAATTTTCTTTATCAGATAAAAAATCAACAAGATAAACATGCATAATGATTAAGAAACTCTTATTTTCAAGCTTTCACAGAAAAACAATAATACGACCTACACAAGTTTTTCTTGCTTCGTCCTGGGATTTAAAAACAGGTGATCGTTACATTTTGGAATTAATGTTTGAAATAAAATCTTTTCACGACAAATGTAACTCGTGTTGGAGACAACAGGTTTCCGTATTGTTGCTTTTAGTGTTATAACTGTCATAAAACCATTTATCTTTTCCATAAGAACGAGACAATTAGTGATTAGTAGAGAAGTAAATAACGTTACAGCAAGAGTTATTCCCCTTGGTACAATAAAAAAAAAAAAGCCAAAAGAAACGAGAGATTTTTGTGTATCGGTGGAGTTGGGCAGTATACGTTGTTGAGGTTATGTGAAATTACCAAAGTGGCCTACTTTAAGTATCTTTTCCTAAAAGCATGCCAAATCATTGAAAAATAATCTAAGATAACATATGATACTGCATACACACCCCCACCCACAAATTTTTTTTAGTAATATTGTCTGATGTGGGTATATTTTCTAAACAAGTCAAAAAATAAATGAAGATCAAAATAATTCATTAATATATATATATATATATATATATATATATATATATATATATATATATATAACATTTTAAAAATTAAATTCAGCCTTACATTATTTTATAGCGCCAATGTTATTTATTATTTACTGAAATGCATTTATTGCCTTGGGCTAGCCTCTAATTTTGGAAGGTAAAAAACATTTTCAATAATTGCCAATTACAAAGAGATTAAATTTGAAGTCTATGACTTCACTTACAGTTAAGTACCTCTGCTGTATCACTTACCATTGATATAAATAAGCTGGATCTTTCTTTAAAGTATATCAAAATATATATTGCAGTAAGCTCAAGAAACAGTAGTGCTTACTACTAATTACAATGGAGATCAACAGTTTTTACAGCTAAGAGAGCAGTATGTGGGTATTTTAAATGAAGAAATTATAAATATTGACTGATGAGGGGTGTTGAAAAGTTCTTAGTCTGACACACTACCTAAAAATATGGCCAAATGACCAAACATCAGAAATTTTGTTGTGATTCCCTTCTTGGTCAAGTCAAAAACTTTTTACCACCTCCTTGTATGAAGGTGAAAAATTGGTATACTTATATTTTATATGTATAATCTTAAGAATTCTTTATAAAAATGATGAATACCAAATATTTGGTTTCAATTCCCAACTTTTTTTTTGCATAATACAAGATTTTATTTTTTATATCTTAGAATTTCTTCTCCATTTTAGTATAGATTTATCAAGAGATTTTTTTAAAAAAGCAGAAAATTTATATAAAAGAGTGTTTAAAGATATTTTTTAAGTTTCATAAATTTTTGTAGACTGACTAAAGAATTTATTTTGATGGAAAAATATCTAGGTCTCCACATTTTCATCCAATTAGTTTAAAAAGTAATCAAATTCTTTAATTCAATTATTTTTTTTGTCTTACTAAATTTAATTTTTTAAATTAATATAAGTTGATAAAATAATTTTTTTTATTGGTAAAACAGATATTTAATACCATTCATTATGTTCTACAAAAATGTCATTTATTTATTAACCATTGTTTGAATGCTATCATTTTAATAGAAAATTGAGTTATTTCATATTTTTTAAGTATAAAAAATAAAAACATTAAAATAAATTAACATTATCTAAAAATGTGCATGAAAATACTGTCATATTCTTTTATTTTACTAAATACAAGCATAGTTTGGAATAGACATGCCAACTGATACCTCATAAAACAAGTGTGCTGGTTTAAATAAATGTTTGGCTGGGTATTCTTGTATAAGTTTAATAAACTAGAATAAAATAATCGTGCTTCAGAGAAAATTATTTGAGAATTGTGTGCTTTACCAAATAAGCACCATTTGAGAAAGGGGGTGATAACTGAAAGAAATAACTTAATCATACCAGCACTTGTATTTGGTATACAAAAGTACTAAGAACAACAGACAGAAGTTAAATTAAAACTTTTTATTTAAAAGTATCCAATATTTAAATGAAGTAGATTTGAATACTGAAGTAATATGGATGCATTGATAAAAAAATACTATGCTTCAATGGAAGCATTTAAATTAGATTAGTTGGCAATAATTATCTGATTAAAATAATTATTTTAGATATTTTTTTTGTGTTTAAATGTGCATATGCATAAATCTATGTCACTAAAACAATGAAAAAATTAAACTAATAATACTATTGGATTAGTAGAGGTGAAATTAATTACTAAATAATTATTAAAATAAAATTATCCTATATGCAAGAATACTAATTTCAATAATTTTAATTTAAAATAGGTTATATTTACCACAAAAATAAAAGAAGGTATTTATTTTATCAAACTTTTTGTACAGGAAATTGAGGTCAAAATAATCACCATATATACTTGCAAAATATCAGTTACATCTGAGTAGTGAGCTTGATCTTCACTGGGTGATCCATACTTTTGGTCTTGTTCCATATCTAAACTACACTTAGTAAATTGCCATCCTTGCACAAAAGCTCATTTTATGTGGGTTTCAATAAGGAAGAAATTCTGGACCATTCTGCAAAGATCAGTGTGCCCCATCTCATTTTTAATGTAATAGGGTGGTGGTGTCTGGGTCATAAATTTCCAGTTCCCAAGCTAAAATTATTGTTTAACTCATTTTTCAAAAGTGTGTAAATTCATGAGTCAAACTGAAAGGTAAGGCAATGATCATTTTTATACTTGCATATACAAAATATATCACAAAATCTTTTCTCACGTATGTAATAGTTGCAAAAAAAAAAAAAAAAAGGCTCCAGGTTTTTGTATACCCCTGCCCCTAAAACTTTCAAGTTTTAGTATAAGTGTTGTTTAGGAATCAAACCTCAGTCCCTGAATCTTTGCAAGAGGGAAAGAGAATTCACAAGCCAAATTAAAATTAAAAGGCAAAATAGTTTAAAGATAATTTTTAAAAAAAGAGTTAACACTAATAACTTTCCTTAGGCCATAATTGTCTTTTAGTTTTACTTTAAGTTAAAATCAGTCTAGAGCATGCATTGTCAGCATGCTGCTCTATGACAGCAAGACTTGGAGCCTTTACTCCAGACAGGAGTGACACCTCAGTGCCTTTCATCTTTACTGTCTCAGATGCATTCTGGGCATCAATTGGTCCAACCAGGTCAAAAATGCTGTAGTTCTCACCCGTGCCCAGTTACCCAGCCTATAAATCCTTCTCTAATAGCACTAGTTCCACTTGCTTGGATATGCACACTGGGGGGGAGGGGGGGGATTCTGAAAATCCTTCTGTATGGGAAACTGGCCATTGGCAAAAAAATGACCTCATCTTCACTTCAAGGACATCTGCAAAAGGAACATGAAGGTGGTGGACATGGAAATTGAGAGGTGGGAAGACGTCGCTTATGATTGCTCTTGTTGGAGACACAATTTACACTGAGGGCTGGAGCAAGGAAAGGAAAAATGAAGGCTTGCTGCTGGGGAGAAGCGTGCTTGATGGAAAGAAAACAACAAGGCAACTCAGAAGAGAGAGTCTTCACATGCATTCATTGCAATCAAGACTGTCACTCGCATGTGGGCCTGTACAGCCATAACAGATGCTGCACTCTCATCAGCAGCTGAGGCATAATTCTTTGGGCACAGATCCAAGGTCTCTTGAGACCGACAGATGCCACATAAAATAATTAGTAAAAAGTATAATTGATCAGTTCTTTTTTTTTTTTCATTTTAGTAGAAAAGTAAAACAAATGGACAAAGAAAATGCATTCATTATTGACCTAGCTTTGACGTCGTGTAATGGTTAGCAAGCTTGTCTCGCGAGAACTATTATAACTGAGTAGTGAGTTCTAGCTTCACTGGGTGCCCCATGCTTTCGGCCTTGTGCCACGTCTAAGCTGGGCTTAGAAAATCATTTGACATAGGTTTGTTAAAAAATGATTTTAGATATGATCTATCTCTATAATTAAAAAAAAAAAAAAACAAATTTCAAAATCTAAAAAAAGTGTTTTTCAAACAGTTGAACTTATTCTTTGTGCAGCTGTTAGCAAATTTTTTTCCGGACGGTCAATTCTAGTCCTCTTTTTACTTTATGTCATCCGTTAATGGAAAGAGAGTTTTGCTTTCAATTAAAAATAATGTTAAAAAGAATTACGATCTTTTCAGCTATCCATACGAATGAATTGTAACCCTGAAGACGACTGTGTGTAAAAAAAAATGAATCGACCGAAACGTAGTTGTAGTACTAAAAAATAAGTTAGTTCGAAAAACACTTCTTAGAAAGATAATGTTAGTTTAAAAATTATAATAACAAAAAATAAAAAAAAAAATCTTGTTTTTTGACGTTGTGTCAATTTTGATGCGTTCTTTTTACATTTTTTTAAAAATTTTTAAAAGATTTTTTTTTTATAAAACAAGATCATTTTTCTCTTGAGTGATATCAAGTAAAATACCCTTTCTTTACCTTTGAAGGAAAATCTTGGAAGATGTTTTTTTTTTTCTTTCGTGAAGTTTAAAATCTGATCTTAAGTCGATTTTTGTTTCAATTCATAAAAAATAAAAAAAAATACATCATAGTTTCCTTCAGCGTGGTTGGTTGATTCTTGACACTCATTGAAATAAATCGTATATTTTTTCTTCATCATTTTTTTCTCTTAAACAATGAATTGTTGGTTTCATTTGGAAACAATTCTAAATGTTACTTTTTCTTGGAAACCCGAAAAAGCCATCCAACAGGTCTCAAACACTCTAGCTAGATTATGGCTTGGCCGTGCAGTGACGTAGATGGTCTAGCTGCTATAGTTGTCATGGTAACAATAGTTCTTTTACTCACGTTTTTTTTTTTTTCTTGTTGCTAGTTTGAATGAGTTAACTCCCTTGTTTATTCGACAAGTGCACTCGTATTATTGACTGCTGTAACCTTAGTGCTCGAGTTCTAACCAATATTTTGTTTTTAAATATCGCTTGCTCGGTGAAACAAATAATTCTATACTTGAGCCAAGTTTTTTAGTCTTTAACTCTAAAATCTAGCTATCTATAAATATGTGTATAAATGACATTTCTTTTACTAAATTTTACACAATATTAGGCTCAAGAGCCACTCAAAGTATAAGGTTAGTCGGAATGGCGATAATTAATTAGGTGCGTGATATGAATGGAAGAGGTGATGATGGCAAGTGTAGATTATGAGGATAAGGAGGATATATACTGATTGATTTGAAGCGAGCAAGATTGAAATGTTCTGGGAAGCACCCACACGGGAATCTGTTCCACAAAGTGACAGTTCTTGGAAAAAAGCTGTCAGAGTATAACTTTCTCTTTTCATTTAGAATACTGAAGAAATGAGGATGATTTGACTCTGGAGGTAGCATGGAGTGGCTTAGCAGTAAGGGTCTGAATTAAAAAATGGATCTCATCTGAACATTTGTCATGGAAATAGCTATAGTGTAGCAAAAAACTTGAAATGTTACATCAGTTGGAAAGTGGAAAATAAGCGATTCCCTACAAGACTGTGTAAGTAATTCTGATCTCTATCAAGGCTAGAAAGCAATATCAGTTCAAATTTGGTACCAATACTCCATTTTGGTCTAGTCTGACTCTTGTAAAGCTAAAGCATGGCAGGAGTCAGATACTTCCTGGAGCAATATAATGAGCAGACAATTTTTCCAGTTTCTTTAGCACACCTAGGTACTCTACGGAAGAGACACCTGTATGCCCAGGTACTCTACTGAAGAGACATCCACAAACTTGAATGATTGCATCAAATGAAACTTTGTCAAATCTTATGAAATATGTTGCAGGACCATATCACAAACAATGAAGTTCTCTTCCATGCATAGATTGAGAGCCTGGAAACAATCATGACTCGCCTCCAAATTTGATGGGCCAGACACTTTGCCTGTATGCCAAACATCCACCTACTCATATATATATATATTCTCTTCTCGGAGTTTGCATCTTGCAAGAGATCACATTGTGCTCTATGTCATCGATTCAAGCATCAGCTCAAAAATACCTTACTGTGGACAGAAATCAATCTGATAAATTGGGAGATGAATACTGCAGAAAGAACCAATTGGAGAAGAGCAGTCCTCAAAAACAACATCCTTTGAAAACACCAGACGGTAAATAGTAGAGATGCAGAGAGCCCAAAGAAAAGCCAGAGATCTCCATTCCCTGAACCCACCTATCCTAACATGCAGTGACTGCAGACATCTTTTCAAATCCGACACAGAAGGAAATGTTGATGAGCACCCCAATACTAGACAATGAGCTCTGCCAACAATGACAACAAATTTTATATATAAGTTCCACTCAAGATCATATGAACATAGGCAGACTTACAAATGAATGATTGTGCGTGTGCATGTATATGTATGTATATATAAGCAAGGAAGGCTGAGTATTGACCAGAGATTTTTTAAAAATGCATATTTATTGTAAGTTAAGGACTATTCTTGTGCAAAATATTTGTATAATCCAATATAACTATTCTGAACACAATCTTTAGATTGAACCTTCAGGTTTATTTTATTTTAAATAAGGATGAAACACCTCAGTAGGTCCTAATCATTGAAAGATTTTAACAAGAAATTCTTTTTTTGCCTGAATTTCTGGGATGAGAAGTTATCATTATTTACATTATTCAGGTTAATGTTCTCATCTTTGTTACAGTTACAATGTTTTGGTTTGTCAGTGCAAGTAACCTTCAAGAAATTTTTAACCAAACCTTTTATTTAATCTACAGTAGTAAATTGTTCTGATTTTCTTGTCAATGTTAGGGATATCTTTTTTTCTTTTCCGCTCAGTTATTGTTAGTCCTGTTTCCACTGAGTGTAAGTCTATATTATGTCACCAAATTCATAAACCAACACTTTAATCTACTAGCAGGGGACAATCCTGAGGCTAGAACTTCAAGTCTTAAACCTAATTTTCTTATTGCCTCCTTTGGTCCTCTGTTAAATTTGGCCCCTCTGCTGCTGAAGCCTTACTATCAAACAGACTTTCATATGGTATATGCCAAGCCAACTGAAAAGGCCATCATAGCCTAGCATATACAAATGCTCTTTCAGACATATAATTCTCCACAATTTTTCTTTGTGCAGCTTTTTTTCTTTAATCCACAGGGATTGGTGAGTACCGTTTTTCCTTTTAAGAGAGAAATACTGCAGCAGTTTTCTGATCGTTCTCTTTGACCCTTTGGTTTCTGCTTGCAGAAGCTGATGTTATGCTTGTTATTTTGAAGGGTATGTTAGATGCTGATCATACCCTGTTATGTGTCTGGTTCACTAATGATTTTTGCCTCAGGTTGTAAGCATCGACCAAACCTTTTTTTATGCTATATTGATGGTGAGAATTGAAGTTAAGCTCTAGTGAATAGGGCCACAGTTTGTATTGGATGAGGTTGCTGTTTGTAGTGTGAGGAGTTATGACTTGTTATCACTGATTGAGATGGAGACTTTCAAGGAAAAATGAATTCAACATTTTCAAAAGAAATTAATTCAACATACGGAGGATTTTTATACATATAATTATATATAAAGAACAACATAGCTCATCAAGAAAGGAAAAGAAAAAATTGTATTTATATGTTTAGAAATAGTTACTTTCTGGGATGAGAAGTTATCATTATTTACATTATGTATAGTTAGGCTAATATTCTTATCTTTGTTGATACAATTACAATGTTTTGGCCATTGTCCCCTCTGGCCTTCTTCAGGCATTTGTCAGTCCAAGTAATCTTCAGGGAATGTCAAACCAAACCTTTTATTTAATCTACAGGAGTAGATTGTTTTCATTTTCCTGTCAATCTTAGGCACATTTTTTTTCTGCTCAGTTATTGCTAATCATATCAAATGTTAAGCACAACACTGTTCACCTCGTGACTATTTTGTGGGGAAATTGGTAGATACTTTTTTTTCATGCCCAGATGTCTTGGGGTTCAGACTGGCTCTGTTCTGCCAGAGTAGACATTTGTTTTCTTTTTACAGAGATGGCACACTAAACATTGTCTTTTTGACTAATGGGGGTGGGTAATGTTATCAGTAGTGGTAGACAGCTCAGTCTGCATCTTGTTTCTGCTACAATAATCATTAGAATGAATAAAGGTTTCTACAAATCTGTTTAATGCATATCATAGTTTGCATCAATAACTAGTAAGTAAATATTTTCCTTATTAAATGTTTTGACTGAAGCAAAAAGGTAAAAAGAATATACTACTTTTTACATGTGGATTCTTCAAATGATAATTTGTTACATGGTCGAGGGAGTTGTTAATATAAGTTACTCTGTGTTACATATATTAGTAGTTGATAGGGCACTCCTGTTTTTTTATACTGAAAATGAATAGAATATACAACAATAAAATACAACAAACAAGACTTTGTGACCCGTGTTGAAATTAATAAGAATCTGTATTTTTGTGATGTTATTACAATACTGGTTTTGTGTGTGTTAAATGCTCTCAAGTTTATTGTATTTTTTTCCGTAAAATTTTGTGGTTGAGGGAGGTTTTTGAAACCATCAACTACTAGATTTTCATGGAGCAAAGAAAATATGTCTTGTTCGGTCTGTGCTAATTTCACTACCCTCTCTCTTGCTTGTGGTGGAACGGTCACGTTCCTTGTTTCAGACTGCCACTGGCAATCAGAAAAGTTATTTTTAGAATGATGAAATTTCAGATTTTTATTATTTTTTTTATAATAAAATATCATCATCATGAATCATAACAAATTCTTCATATAATAATAATTCCTTTTTAGATGGCCAATTAGACTTTATAATCTCACAGGAAACATTTTGCTTTGTTCTTTCTCAACGATGTTAGTCTGTGATTATTCCTGTGTTAGAATATATTAAGATAAGAGAAAAGAATTTTATATTTAGAATTATTGTCTTCTTTTACTTTTGTCTCAGTGGCAGTACTGTTGTTTTATTTATTCTTTCATGCTACCATACACGCATTTATAACACCTTTCACAACCTTTTGTAGAGTAATGACCCATAGCTATATGTAAACAAGGCCTACTCTAATATTGACAGTATTAACCAATAGGAAATTAGGAATTCTAGGGCTTATGGGATAGAAAGGGAAATTGTAAATAAGAGAATGAAAGGTGCAGAACAGTGGGGATGCCTTCTAAGTAACTACCATACTTACACAGCAGATTCTGTGCTTACCTATTCAAAAGCTATATCCAGGAATTAGTAAAAGTGCAATCAAATTTTCTTTACCTTTTACAACCTCCTAGCTGTATGAATCTCAATTCTTCATTACCATATATTCAAAAATAAAAATATAGAAATTGCATTCCAATTACAAATTTGCTCAGTTATGAAACTCAACTGCTTCTCTACAGCTAAGGATTGGTAAGTTTGCAGCAGAAAGTGTCAAATTTCACATTATTTTTATCCTGTTACTTAAACTTTCACTGAAAAAATTGGATCTCAGTAAAGATATTAATAAAAAAAAAAGTGGAATTTGCCAATGGTAAGAGATTG